GAAGCAAACTGTTTGAATTGTGCTGACAAAAACTGCTAAAGCTGTGCTGGCACAAGCAACGCAAACATTGGCCAAACTTTGCTTGTAGTTGCGAAGAAACTGGCGCAGCATCTTCCTACACAAGTAGAAGTTCAGCAAGCAGGCTTTTCCTTGCGAATGCCATGCTGAACAGTTAGCAGGAATACGGCGCAACCAGAAAACACGTCCGTGCAGACTGGGATGTCTTTGCGGCTTGCATGGCATGGTCAAGTCGGGCACTTTCACTCGACTCCCCTGGGTTGAAGACAAACAGTAACCCTAAACCCTAAACCCTAAACCCTAAGCCCTAAACCCTAAACCCTAAGCATGTGCCTTGTCTATGGGTGTCTCACTGGCCGTGGACGTTCCGTCACCTTCGCAGGTGTGGAAGATCAGAAAGCCCAGGAGGCACCCACTGGGCGTACTTGGAGGTTCATGGTACTCATTAACCAATTATACCTGTACTTATAACTGTACTTATAACCATATTAAGGCACTTCAGGGGCTTAAGTACAGTTATCAGTACAGTTATAATTGGTTAATAAGTACCATGAACCTCCTAGTAGGGTTGTGGGTTTGTATCATACTGAGCTGAGCAAGAACATGTCCGCAAAACAGAAGCCCAAATTTGTTTGCAAAACCATCGCTGACTCAAGTGTGTAGCAGGTTCCGAAGCCGTTGTAGACAAGTACATGGGATGTTTGCCAAGCAACTGCAGAAACAGTTGTATGAAGCAATGTTTCCGTGAGCCCCACCAACTTCTGAAACCGTTCAAGCCGGGGGGGGCCAGGTACGGGTCAAGTGCCCTCTAGAAGGAACCGAAGGCTTTCAGTTACAACATTCAGACGCAAAAAACAATTACCTGAATGATGATCTCTGTACACTACACAGTACTGTATAGTGATTTATTCAAATTGATATGCCACAATTTTGGGGGAAGTAACATTTCATTTTGGGGAAGTAACATTTCTCATGAACAAATGTTCAACATGTTCCACAATTTTGGGGAAGTAACGATAACTTGCAGACAGGTGCAACAATTCTCTGCCCCCGCCTCCATCCATGTCGCTATCGTGCGAGGATGCGCGGCCGACTTCTTCGCGGAGTGGCGCCTGCCCATGATTGGAGGCGGGACCCTAAACCCCAAACCCCAAACCCTAAACCCTAAACCCTGAGGTGGGACTCCCGCATGGACTCACATCTCTGCAGGACGCCCAAGCCACAACCGCAACTAATTCCTTAATCACAGTGGCGCGAGGTCTACAGATGCAATGCGGGGCAATGCCTAGCAAGAAAGGACCTAGGAGTCCAAGCTGCCTTCTGGTGGGCTCTATGTGTGGGTGGCTGGGAGGCATGAACTGTCGGGCGCTTACCCATCCATCCTCCAACTGCCGGCGACCGTTCGGGACCTCTGGAAGCTGTGCCAATGGAGGCACGCCTGCACACAGCATCGCCGGTAGAGGATGGCGACACATGATGCATCCTTGACGCATTGCCTCACACTGTCCATTCTCTGCTGTCCCAAACAAAGCTCACATTCGCCTATCCCACTCGCCGGTGAAAGCGACGATGCCGAGCTCGACGAGCTTGTCCTTGAGGACGCACCCTGAAAAACCTTAAGCCCTAAACCCTAAACCCTAAACCCAAACCTTAGGGCGAACACCCTTAACTCCCTCCTTGAGCCATGTCTGGCAAGAGGAAGCCGTTGACTCGACAGGGCAGGATATGCTTGCTCATGTTTCTCCCAAAAAACTTGTTTCGGATTGAGGGCCTGGGGTGTTTCTTAGCTAGGTCCGGGATTGGCATGCATACTTCTACATCACAGACATCAACGGTTCGGTGGCAGCTGTCTTTGTCTTCTTATTGCTTTGATGAAGCAGAACAAGTTTCAAGTACGGGAACGTGTTCTATCCTACAGTACTTCGTGCACTTCTTGTGAGGGCAAGTGAATCTGTTCTCTTCTGTGAGCTTTGGAGATGAGGGATGGAGCTTTGTGTTTGATGCTGCCACATGCTGCCAACTGGCTGGTTCTTAGTAGGGAAAGAGGGAATGAGGTACCCTATGTAATCCCTTAAAGGGTATATACAGGGCCCTAATTCCCAACCAGCTGGGTGACTGTACAGACTTGGCGGAAGAGTTTCTTGCACCGGGACCCTCGCCGCGACCCTCGACGAAGCCGGTCTTCGGGATAGACGGCGGGCCTCTACAAGTGTTCCATTTGCTTTGACATAGGGTTTAGGGTTTAGCTGTTCAGGCTTGAAACGAATTTAAAAGCTACCTGACGGATCCAGCAACATTGGCAATCCTCCTTCTGATAGACTTTGTCATGGACGTGCTTGGCATGTCTGCAAATACATGAGTTCCTCTGCCGCTACATGAGGAGCAAAGCGATATTTTGTCAGTTGTACAAGTCCCTTTAAGACCCAGTCTCAAGCATTTTCACCTACCGAATATGTGGATGCCGTGCTTTGTGCTGACGGCCGACGATGCAACCGTACATGACTGAGCTGCTCCCTGATTTGGCCGGCCGCATGTTGGAACTGCTGGGTGAAAATAATCATATGAATCATCATAATCATCATAAGAAACATAATCATAGCCATCATACGTTTGTCATACGTGCATATGTACCCCTTGCCGGGAGAAAGCAAACACCACATCCTCAAAAGTAGCACTTCGTTGGGAGAGACGGCCTGCTGGAATCTCGGCTCATGGCATTGCTGGCTGATGGCCTGACAGGTTTTCAAAGGCCGTAGGACAGAAGCACATTGAAAAACAACGGCTCGAATTCTTGACGTGCGATCTGCGGTGGGCGCAGTGTCACCATGTGCCTAGGGCCTAGTTCAGTGCCGGCTGCGGCGGTAATCCGTTCCCCCTAATATTAAAGGCCCCCCCCCCCCCCCTCCCTTGTATAAAAACCCCCAAAGGGTTTTTTGTATTTGGGGGGGTTCTTCTCGTTTGTCCGAAAAACCAGCCCGTCCTTATTGCAGCACGCTGGCTCAGCAGCCCAGCCTAAGCCTAGACAGCTACGTTTGGAAAAGGTTCATGTTTCTGCTTCCGGCTTCCAACCCTCCCCCCCCCTAACTCCCCCCTCTCTCTGTAGAGATTTTAATAGGGACAGGCACGGGATCGGGATTTTGGGCCAGGGGGTTCTTTATATTAGGGGGGTATTAATATTAGGGGGAACGGATTAATGCTGTATGGCATGGAAGGATCAAAAGGTGTACTGTAGCATGTCAAAGCGGCTGGCCGTGCCACTACTAAGCGCAGCGTTGCAGTTCAATTGCTGAGTTTCATATTATGATGTACTCATTACCTTTGACCGTGAAGTATGTACGCTGAGACTGCACCACTCCTGGCATCACATATATATATATATATTATAATATCACATCCCCACACGGCTGGCAACACCCACAGCCCCACAGCCTGCTGCCACGGAAGACATGCAGTCAGCGTCACCAAATTCAGGCCAAAGCCTTGATGATAAGACTTCACGCCTCGACACCGAGGCCGGGGCGTTCTGAAGTCCATCTGCCACTCGCTCCAGTGAGCACGATCCAAGTGCTCCTGCTTGTTGAGTGACGGACTGTGACCACGGAGAACATGGCGCGGGTGCACAACTCCACTCAACACAGTCAACACACTAAGCCGTGACCCCCCCCCCCCCCCCCAAGTCGGAAACAAGCTTGGGTCCAGCTGCTCAGCTGCGAGCGGCGATGCAACCTCGTCGTGGGCGTGGCTCCCAGAAACCTGTTCCGGTGACGGAGTCATGCCATGGCAGGTCACGGTGTAGGTCACAGGGACTCCTTCTTGCGATCCCATCACGTACTCATGTCCGCTTTGCAAGGGCCTGTGATGAACATGTCGGCAGCAACCCCTCACCGAATCAGGGCCAGTCAGAGCGCTCGCCCACCTTGAAGGAGGGAGGCGCGCAAATGGTTGGCGGTGCATATCCCAAGCTCTCGAAGTGCCGCGACTCCTCCAGTGAAAGCACAATTTTCCAGCTCTCCCATGTGTGAGCAAAGCACCAGATTTTGTGTGCCACCTCAATGATTACCCGATGTCTTGTTGTTTTCTCCTGGTCATTTCATTCGGTTGCTTGACAAGGTTCGTGTGTGGACTCCTCAACAGTCAAGAGGGAGCCTGCTCCAGGAACTGATGAAATTTGAACCCTTCACAAAAACCCACCGGCAAGTGTGTAGGGGGGGGGGGGGAACTTGGGCCTCCCAAACCATCCCCTGGCAACTTGGGTTCTGAAGCGAAGCACCGATGAAGTATAGCCATATAGGCGAGCCGGTCTGTTGGGCCGTATTCGTTTTTCCTCCCCCGGACTCCAAAGATGTGTCAAGATTCCCTGCGGCTTCTCACCCACTGCCCTAAGTGCCTTTCACGACCGCCTATGAGATGCATTCCACATCTTTAAGGCTGCGCATCCCAAGCCAGAATCTCAGGGGCACGGCATCGCTCCCCCGGTACCTCCCAGAACCTTCATGACTTAATGGCCAGTACCGGACACAGGGCCTGCAAAGAGGGTTCTGACATGTTAGTGTTTAGCACTGCTTAGCTCAGAACACAACACGAGCCATGCGAACCGTCCGAACAAAAAACTTTCAACCAGCTGGAAAACGACGCGCACCTCCGAGTTTGCGGAGGAAGGCGGCAACGCCCGAATTGGCTTGGCGGGCCTGACGCGGCACGAGGCGAAGTGCACGGAGGGGGCACGATGAATTGAAGCAACCTTGACATGACAATGGTGTCGGATAATGTCACATGATGTCACGTGCACGCCTGCAGACAAGTGTGTTTAAGACAATTTTTTGTCTCTGCGTCAACCTTGAAACTCAACAGATGCCACACTGTTGATGGCACTGATGCTAACAAACTGGCGCAAATTAAGGATTCAGCCTTACAGCTATACAGTCGGCTTTCAAAGTCCAATTTGCTCTTGACCCACCTCAATGAGCCACCAAGTCACTCAACTAGCAATTCTGGTAGCAAGTCCCGCGTGTCACGGTGCATGCACCTTCGCACTGCATGATTTGGCCCTTCAGTGCTTCCTCCTCTGCGTCTGTGTAGTACGGACCACCGCCAGGTGGAATGTGACACCATCGGTTGCAACTGCCAAAGCTGGAATCACAACTTGCCTGGCATGCTGCATTGCTTGGCGCCCCAGCGGGGGCCCCAGGTGTCCCCGCTGTGCAAGGTGACCCATGCGATTGGCGGCAGGAGACTGCACAGGCATCCTGGCTGATGCAGTCATCGCGCGCAAGCCAGGAGCAGTCGCAGCCCGTTGCGGAGCGCTGTGCCGCGGTGCTGTCGCTTGTATTTGTTAAGCCTCGGAGTCCAGGCGATGCAGCAGTCAGAGCTGCAAGCGCTGCACACAAGCACAAACGTGAGAACATGGTGCTCAGGTACTTCTGGCCCGAGTGGATCAGTGATCAGGTTGATCAGGAACTTTGGAACAAATCTTGAGCCAGGAGTGCCATTTTCATGTCCTCAAGATTCGAGATCGCTGAGTTGAGTCTCTTCGTGCCTGAATAGGTCCGGAGAAGTCATTGAACGCACACAAACACATGCATTCAGCCGTTTTGGAACTTGCCGGCTTTCGGGTAAACCCAGTCTCGGAGCTTCATGCTGAACTCAGGCAAGGCCAACGTGCTTAGCAGCAACTGTTCAAAGATAGCTCCCCTCTGCTTACATGTGTCGCAGGACTATCATCCAGGTGCGCGTGAACATCTTCTTCTGACCGGTGCCCCGGTATGAAGGCTTCTTGGGGGGGCTCCTGAAAGCTTCCGGAGCTAGCACCCATACTCAAAGACAGAGTTTACGACACGGTCTCAGCACAGTCTCAACATCAAAAAAGCATGTAATCACATGAATGATACTGTTCCATAGCATCATACTGTAATATCTTATAAACATCTTATAAACTTGTGTACGCAGTGCTACATGCTTTAGAGTGGCCATGCGCCAGAACAGCGGCTTCGGAAACTCTCCGCCTTCGACTGTGCCATTCTCCCGGTGAGTCCGACTGGACCTGCCACCACACCACTGGCGGTTTTTGAACCAAGGCTTAGGGTTTAGGGTTTAGGGTTTAGGGTTTGGGGTTTAGGGTTTAGGGGGTGGTTTAGAGTTTAGGGTTTAGGGTTTAGGGGGTTCAGGGTTTAGGGAACACCCCCCCCCCCCCACCCCCCCCAACTCCGGCTCTCCAGGCAGCCAGACGCAATGACAAGGCGGAGTAAGCAACCTGTCTCCAGACGCAGCCCCAAAGATCTACCATATTCTTCAGGCCCACACATCAAAACCAACCCTAAACCCCCAAACCCTAAACCCTAAACCAATTTTGACGGCATACTGCAGCGACGGCCCCCCTTCCCCTGCCCCGGCCACCTGAAGCACCGACTCCAAGTGGCTTGCCGCGCTCACCGCAGTCACGCTCTGCGGGGTGGAGCCTGGAGTTCCACCCTAAACCCTATAATTCCTAAACTTAACAAGCAACTATAAGCCCTAAACCCTATAGACCCAACAACCCCCTAAACTTCAAACCCAGCAACCCCCCTACCTCCTAAACCCGACACCCAACAACCCCCTACACCCCAAATCCTAAACCCGAAGGCCCAAAGATCTGAGCTCAAGAGGAGGGGCTTGTCGCGTGCTTCAATCTGCTCTTGGCCATGCTTGTGGCTATTCAGGTCGCCTGACATGCCCCTAAACCCTAAACCCTAAACCCTAAACTCTAAACTCTTAACCCTAAACCCTGAACCCTGAACCCTGAAGCCCTACACCCTGAAGCCCTAAACCCTAAACCCTAAACCCTAAACCCTAAACCCTAAACCCTAAACCCTAACCCTTAAACCCTAAACCCCTTGTTCGTGTGGCTTCCAGGCTTCTCATCCCTGCCTCGGCTGGGCAACGGCGGCCTTGGCAGGGTCAAATGCCACGAGCCCCATCCAATTCACTCTGAACTAACCTGGGTTTAGGGTTTAGGGTTTAGGGTTTAATTCGTCCATATGGAGACCCGTATTCAGGGTTCAACAAAATCGGACCTAGCTCACCTAAGACAATGTTGCCAGTGCCTGCACTAGAGAGTCACCTTGGGAAGCAGGCGTCTCTTCGCGTCATCACAAAACATAAGACCATCCAGGCCCGAGCACCCGACAGTTGCTTGCCAGAGCCTCTGCTGGGCCTGCCGCAACACCACATGAGGCGTTGAATTCCGCTTTACTGGCTTCCTTGGTGTCCCAGGACCCAGGAGGCCTAATCCCCGCACCAACGGACCTCAGAACGAGTCCTACACCCTCGTGACTGGCCTTGGCAAGCTTGGTGGTTGTCTCAGCCTTGTAGGAATAGGCTTCGATAGATTCTGCTAGAGAGTCGCGATGAGTAATCAGTCTCTTTCCAGATGTTCTTTCCAACTTTACGCACTGGTGCGTTCCTGAATGTGCCTGTGCCTTCCTGCAGGTCCTGTGCAGAAATTCACAGACTTGGAAGGTCAAGGCCGTGGAAGTGTCACCAGATTGCAAGCCTTTCTGCTCCGAATTTGGGATTTCGGGTTTAGGGTTTAGGGTTACTCACCAATACAAGGAGGCTCAGCGAAAGCAGATCTCGAGTTCCTGGCTGCTGGCGCTTCACAGCTGCCATTGCGTAGCTGCCCCTTGCCTGGCACCACTAGAAGACAAATACTTCAACACACAGGTCGCAGCGCAGCAGAGTATATCCGGGAGCTGTTCAACATTTAACTAGAAGACATCCTTCACGACCCCTCCAATGCTCAGGAATGAGTCCCAATGAAGAGTTTCAATTTGCGCGAGACCACACTTCTCGAAACCAGTTTAACCCCTAAACCCTAAACCCTAAACCCTAAACCCTAAACCCTAAACCCTGAACCCGAAGTGTTTGTTTTCTCCGCAGGCTGCTTCGCCTCCATGAGCTCCTTCTCGCAACAGCTCTGGACGCAAGAGGGAAGAGACTGGAATAACCTATGCACGAACGAAGAGCCCACCTACTTCTGAGGGCGCGCGACGCAAAGTTGCATCCAAGAACCTATGGTGTTGTACAGCGCCGTGGAGTCCGCCGCTATGTTAAGCCGTGCGGGGCTGCACGCCCCCGTCACAGCGAGACGGTGGTGGACACAAACCCGAGCCATCGGAGCGGGAGGACGATGACATAGGCCTCAAGGATGGCTTTGTTAAGGTTTGTTACGAAGTCAAGGAGGGGGGCTTAAGATAATCAGGGACCCCGAATATGGACCCCCAAATAGTAGGATCCCCTTGAAACTTGGTACCCCCCACTATCGTAACCCTCCCAGGACTTGCCGAGCAACCAAACTGACATCCTTCAACACGAGTCGTTCAGGATTGTGCTGCGAGGGTCGGCAGTTTACTTGTGCCTACCACGCCTCTGCTAGAGTCGTTGAGGGCTTGCATGGGCTGTCTTGGATCCTTCGCGCCTCTCACCCTTCCAGAAAAGGGCCAAGTCTATGCAACTGACGCGGCACTGCGGCGCTTCATCCCAAACCCCTGTTCTACAAGTTCCTGTCCCAAGTCCTTGAACTTTCCTTAACGCCTTGAAGCATATGACCAGGCTACAAGTTTATTCGAACCATTGTTGGCTGTATTCTCATTGTCATGCCTTACAAGAAACGTCTCCTCCACAAGTGACCCCACAGCATCCCTCAGCAGACAGCCGCACGGAAGGCCTAATGTGCTGACCAAGGAGCGGGTATATGGACTGATCTACGCCGCCACGGATCCTATTTCCTATTCCAATTCTATTTCAATTCTCGCAACCATGTCTCATGCAATTCGTCATACTCTTCTCATCGCGCTGCTGAGCACTAGGTCCTTGCAAGGTCCTTGAAAACCAAGGCACGAGCGCCAGGAAGAGACATAAGTTTCCCAAATTCCAAATCCTCAATGAAGGCATGCGAGGACTCCAAATAAATTGCTCCACATCCCTCCTGCTCTTGTGATGCTGCGCAGTTGTACAGACCGCCCGTTGGCCTTTTAGATGATGTCTTGCTCGCGCACAAATGGCAGCTTCTGTCCACCTGGGAAACCTCTCCTGGCCCCGGCTTGTGAAGGAAGCCGTCTACACGATGAAAGATATTCGACCAGGATAAGGAGCTGCCGGCCACGTGCCGTTATTGCAGCAGGGTGTCCAAAGCATCCAGGGGAGGTATTTGATGGGAGCCGCGCGATCATAGATGCGGATGCAGGGGGCCTTCAGGGCTATTCAGGTTGAGACAGCGTTGCCTACAGAGCTGAACGTGCGATGCTGGGTTTCACGTATTTTGGACCACGCTCCCTGAGACCTTCACGTCCCGGAAAGCTTCGTAGCAAAGGTTGATGTTCAAGTAACCTGAAGGGGGGGGGAGCTCACAGGGGGTCACAAGATGTCACCAAATCCGCGAGGTCCATACACATTGCCCATTCCTTCACACATATTGAGACCTTTATGTGGGTGGCTGTCAAATGATCCTTTTTGGGGTATCCTAAATATTAGGTGCCGCATTATATTAGGGATCCCAAAAGAAACCATTGACAGCCACCCATGTGAGTTCACCCCGACATGGATGTAGTGGAGCGAGGCATGGTGACGCTTGAGGTACTGCTGCGTCAAAACCACTCTTGGTGAACTTGAACCCGAAACCCTAAATAGCCCCTGAACCCTAAACCCTAAACCCCTTAACCTTATAAACCCCCAAACCCTGAACCTTCGACCTTATCAACCCTAACACCCTCCAGTGCACTCTGCTTCGGCAACTTGGGACCCACTGCAGCATTTCCAAAACCTATCTTGCATTCGAGCTGCACAGCTCGCCCTTCTCTCCCACGACTTCAAGGGGCGTCGTAAAGCGGCAGATGATCTGCGGTTTAGGGTTTAGGGCTTAGGGAAGATCGTGGTTTTTTGCTGTTGGTCTGTAGCCTCCCATGCCTACTGTATGGCTGAGACCTGCAGCCTGCGCTCACCGATCATATGCCCATTCTTGTACATCTCATGGATCACAGAATGCTCATTACAGCCACTAGGCCTTAAAGGTTTGTGTGGGTGTTTCGGTCAGCTTTGACTGATGTATCGTTTAGCCACAAAGCCACGGAGCCACAACCTGTCTGCATAACGTACACTGCCCCAGTGGTGCTTTGCTTGAGACTGTCTCCAAGCTGTCCCCTGCGCCTGGCAGCAGATTGTCTGCGCCAAAGCGACCAAGAAAGCCCGGCCGACTGGAAGGCCTCAAGGAATAGGGTTTAGGGTTTAGGGTTTAGGGTTTAGGCTAAGGTTTAGGGTTTAGGGTTTACGGTTTAGGGCTTAGGCTACTTTTTTTAACAACCCTGGGTTTAGGGTTTAGGGTAAGCTTGAAGCTCCAGCTTCTGTGGCTAGGAAAGGTCGACTAGGAAGGTCGAGCCCGTCATCATCTGATGCAAAACATATTGTGCAATGCTCCGGGCTCACTGGTTGCCACCTCGAAGTATCTACTTCTGTACACTGTGGAATCATCGCATCATGTCTACACGTCGGCCGCAGGCCTGAGGCGTTTATAGATCCGAGCTGAGGGAACCTTGTGTAGACGTACCCACTCCTACCCCCTCCCAGGCTACCGAGACTTTTGTAGTCAAGATGGGTTCGCCGCTTCGCCCCCAACCAAACGGTGCCCAGCAACTGCCGATGCGTCCTAAACTTGCCGCAGTGAAAACCCAGCTAGTTCAAACCCTGCCTTTTTCTAATCCCTACCTACGTCTGATTGCAGTCGTGAAACCCAGCTGCTTAAACCCGAACTCTTTTTCCAACCCCCAGTCTGTCTAATCCGTTACCTTGTACGACTACGGATTAGGCTTGATCTGGGAGGCGGGGTGGGGGGCAAGTTTGTTTTGGGACCCCACTGTAACTCACCGAGGGGTGGCTTGGCGTATGTACAAAGTTCTAGACCCCACTGCAATGGGGCAAAGGGCTTTGCAGGGGGGGGGGGGGGGGGCTCCCCTATTCAAGGGTCAACATCAACCAGCACGAGCTAAGGTTCGACTAGCTAATCATCATCCAGGCACTTGTACACCGACAGCCCACGATGATCACCTCAAGTGCACACAGGCTTGGCAAGCCTTGGCATGAGAGTTCGCAGCACGAACCATCCACACCAATGTCTGAACGAACATTGATGACTCGAGCAAGCTCAATGTGCCCTTCATACTGCTGCCGGTCTCAGCACTCGCGTTCGCATCTTGTAGGCTTCTGGGGTCCGCACTCACGATGCGACCATCATGTGGTCTAGCTGCTAGCTGCTAGCCCTAAGCCCTAAGTCCTCAGCCCTTATAAACCCTAAACCCTAAACCCTACACCGTAATTAACCCTAAACCCTATAAACCCTAAACCCTACAAACCCTAAACACTCAACCGCAACCAACATTACTGCCATTCAAACTGTCAGGGTGCAAGAGTTCTCATCATAGTTCGGCGCGCTGGCTGGCGCTCCTTCTACATCTCGGTGTTGTGCCCCTTCCCAGCGTACATTATGTTGCGGCTTTTTTAATACAGCCCCTTCAAACCCTAAACCCTAAACCTAAGACCTAAACCCAGACCCTAGACCCTAAAACCAGAAGGCTAGGGCCGAGGCCAGCGGCTCAAAAAGAACGTGGTGCACGCAGGAGATGCGGCGGGACAGCCTTCGGACCCACGCAGCAAAAGCTGAATTACATCATTCTATGCTTATCTGCTTATGTGCTTGTATGTCTCACATATTTGCATGATGAATATTCTTCCACTCTTGCAAGATTCAGCTACTATTGTCCCAATTCTCATATTCTGCTTTCAGAAAACGAAGCAAAGCACATTTTCGGTAACCAAGCTGCGGTGTGCTGGGCCAAAAGAGGTAGCCGACCACCTTGAGCGGCAGCTTCCCGAATAGCAAGTAGCCTGGGGGTTTCTGGGGGGTTTATGGGGGTTTATGGGGGGTTTATGGGGGTTTATGGGGGGTTTATGGGGGTTTATGGGGGTTTATGAGGGTTTATGGGGTTCATTGCAGTCACTAGCTGCTGCGACAGCAAAGCAGCCAGCAATGTCGACATACCACAGCACCTGGTCAATGGCGACCAAAATGCCTTCACAGTGCTGATGACAGGTGCGGCAGGTCTTGCAGTCTTGCATGAGACTAAACATTCTGCCGGCTTGTTCCTTGTGGTTTGCTACGTTCTGTTGCTCACTGGCCTAGGACATAGCCTGAGAAGCTTCCAGCTATGTGATGTAGCTTCAAGCGAAAACTTGCATATGCTCTGTTTGATCGTTCTTCCTAGCTGACACGCAAGGCGTAGGGCCTGGAGTATATGGCTTGATTATACTTCTAGTACTCAGAATTTGCACTGCATGAAATGCTCAATATGACATGGCATCAGGCTTCAACAGAAGGAGGGACGCTCCATGCTGCTTGCCAGTCCAAAACTGTCGGCAGACTTCCTTTGGCATAGCAATGCGCTTCGTCGGCTGTGCAATCCCGACGCCAAACACTTTCACCATCGCCAGCGCGCCTTGTGCACACAGGAAGACAGGACGGCGAAGGTAAATTGCCTTGGCTTCCAGGCTAAACCCTAAACCCTAAACCCTAAACCCTAAACCCTAAACCCTAAACCCTAAACCCTAAACCCTAAACCCTAAACCCTAAACCCTAAACCCTAACCCTAAACCCTAAACCCTAAACCCTAAACCCCCCAATACCTGGCCGGACCTGACTCCACAGATGCAGATCTGGGAATCCCAGTCGGAACCCAGTAGTGGGAACCCCTCGCATCTTCTTCACTTCGCAAGACACTCTGCCTGTTCCCCTCACAGCCCATTTGTTAAGCATTAGATGCGGGTGCTCTCCAAAAAAACACCGGCTGTACTCCCTTGCCGATGATGAGCCTTCCAAGTCTGCGACTAGAACAGTATGGTCAAATGGCAATTAACTAATGAGGTTTAAACACTCGTCCATGCGACATATAATGTTCTTCGCCTAGAGTGCAAAAGTCTTTCTTTGCTACTTTCGCGGACGTTCGCGGGGCCTAGGTTCATCCTGTTCAAGAGAACTGGCAGAGCAGAACGTTAGAACTCTTGCGAAAAGCGCCAAGTCTTTGGCGATATCAGTAGCTGCTATGAAAATTCTGCTTTTAAGTCGAAGACTAGGAGCTTCAAATTGTTCTCAATTGCGCTTCCAGCTGCGAGCGCCGCCGCAGGCATGGCATAGTTGCAGGAGAACATAAGCCTCAGGTCCCAGGTCTCTTGTTTAGGGTTTAGTGTTTAGGGTTTCCCTGGCCTATGTGACCTGTACGTAGAGTCTTCAGTCGCGCTGCAGCGCCCTCCACCGAAACTTACGCAACAATGCTGCTTCGGATACGGCCAGTTTGAGAGTTGAAAGGCCTGGTGGTTTCTCAAGGAAGGACTTTCTCTCATGCACAAGGCGCAATCCTGGAACTCCTGTCTGTGACCTGACCAAGCTCACTAAACCCTAAACCCTAAACCCTAAACCCTAAACCCTAACCCTTAACCCTAAACCCTAAACCCTAACCCTAAACCCTAAACCCTAAATCCTCAATGTGCAAACATTGCCAGCTCAAGAAGCTGGTAGACGTCTTGCGATACGCTCGCGGTTTCGCAGCCTGGTTTTCCGAAGAGTCACATGCATACGGTGGCAATCTTAAAGAGTTTATAAAGTATAAAGCAATATAAAGCACCTTACTTTCCTGCGCCTGCATACCTTTTTCTCCGGACTCCGGCAACAGGGCAATCGCCAGAAAGAAGAGCAGCCAAGCCACGCAGCCGCAAGACGACCAGCCAGCCTTAACAGCGTACTTCTTTCGACCAAAACATATTAATATGCCTGTGCCTTTTCACTGTGAGAGAAGCATCGCATGGTGCGCTCAACAGCCAGATCCACTACAAAAGGTTACCCGAGTTCCATTAAGGCTGGTAGAAAGAAGGCCTGGAACGCCACCAAGGAGCTCCAGTACCCCAAAAGTACCCAGGCAGCCCACATTGATGGTGGCAGCGTCTCGTCACTCCAGCCAGGGAATGCGTAATAATCCACGACTTAGTTGCTTCTCTAAGGGACGCCAAGAAGCGACTGGGTCGATGAACAATCACAGTTCTGAGGGACATGACGTGGGCTTGTTTCACTAGACTCAATCAAGCAAGCTCAGGGAAAAACCTCGTCTCGGAAAACAAGCCGAGCCCTGTCGGGCTGCAAACTATACAGACCAGCAAGCCTGTGCGCACACACAATTGCCAGGGGGCAAGCTGAAAACCCAACACCCACACCACGCCCAAGCCAAAACCAAGCAAAACCCCAAGCAGAAACCCAAGCAAAAAACCCAAGAAGACCCAGCACGAACCCCTGGGAGAGAGGAGGAAGGCGAACAACTGGAGCAGTTGCAGGCGAGGGTTAAAGCTTCATCAGTGCAGGAATAGTGATGGAGGACGACCCGGACCCTCACTCTTGTGTTCAAGCTCGGCCTACCAAGTTGCCGGCGGCTTTAAAATTAGAAACAGCACATTGCGATGACCCCGTCAACTTGCATATGACCGAACTCAAAGACACTGACCGTTCTCGGCCGAGGTGCGCATGCCCACCATGGACATAGAGAAGTACAGAAGCGCGCAGCTGGCGATTGCATGGGCACTACTTTGGTGCTTGGCCTCGGCACGACGTACCCGGATTGCAATGGACGCAGGCCAGACTGACCCCGAAGCCAGCCCCAAATGGGGCTGACGAAAATACGGGGACCCCGAACATAGGATTCCCTTATCCGCCGACTCCGCCGGGTCGGTGCTAAAGAGGGGCTCCTCGCCTCAGCGCTAAGCCCCCCCCCCAACCCCTCACCCTCAGTGTTTGTTCTAGTTGTATTGCTGCCCCAGCACGAGCATCCGCCAACCCGGTTTCTTCCCGCCCCCACCCCGCCCTCACCCCGCCCTCAGCGCTAAGCCCCCCCCCCCCCCCCCCAATCGCTCTCACCCAAGCCCCGCCCCCCCCAACCGCACTCACCCTCACTGCTTGTAGAACAATGTTCTAGTTCCATTCCAGCACAACCACCCGCCAACCCCGCCCCCACCCCGCCCTCACCCGCCCTCACCCGCCTCAGCGCTAGCCCCCCCCCCCCCCCCAACCCCTCACCCTCACTGTTTGTTCTGGTTCTCTTGCTGCCCGCCAAACCCCGCCCACCCGCCCTCACCCCGCCCTCAGCGCGAAGCCCCCGCTCCCCCCCCCCCCCCCCCCCAACCCCTCACCCTCACTGATTGTTCTAGTTCTATTCTAGTTGTATTGCTGCCCCAGCACGACCACCCGCCAACCCCGCCCCCGCCCCCACCCCGCCCTCACCCGCCTTCACCCGCCCTCACCCCCCAACCGCCCTCACCCTCATTGTTGCCCCACACGACCACCCGCCAACCCCGCCCCCAGCACTAAGCCAGCCCCCCCCCCCCCAAACGCCCTCACCTTCACTGTTTGTAGAATTGTAAGAATCTTGGCCCTGTAGGTCTTGGAAATCATAAATTTTTTTGTCATTTTTCAGTCATTTCGGCGTCATTCTGGAGTCATTCTGCTGTTGTCATTTTGTTGTCGTTTCTGCATCGTTTTCTGCCATACCCTAAACACTTTGCCCTGAATCTTCAAAGGGCGGTCTGGGTGAGACGCCTACATGGCATGAATGACGGGCGTGCGAGAGATGAGCACGTAGCAAGCCAGCACGCAATCTTGAGTATCCTCCCTATACACTGATGCTCCCTGCCGTGGCACTCGGGCACAGAGACATGCAGGGGGGTCGGCGGCACTGGCGGCAGCCTTTAAATAATCAGGGCCCCAATAGGTACCCTTTATTTCGGAAACACCGAGATCCTCAACGGAACATTTGTGCACCGCGAAACGGATCCGGCGAGCGAGAGCGCACTGTGGCAACTCTTGCTTGCCCAATAATTCCCAAAGGGTCCATGTACTTATGTATATACTTGGGCCTTGAAGGCGTTTCCATGTAGTAGTTGTTGGGCCCAAGTATATACTCCAATGGGTACATGGACCCTTAAGGAATTTAGACGAGCCAACCTTGCCTAACTTGCACGACATGGACCCTTTAAAGAGCCGCCGCTGAAACGCGCTCAGCACCAGCCAGCCGGAGCTCGGGTCTGTAAAGCGCAATGCAAAGTGCAATGCAAACTTCAATGCTAAAGTGCGAAACGTCCTGTCACGAAGGGATATAAATACACAGGAATGACACATTGCGCTTGGCGCAAGTGCGGGAAAGCCCCTGTGGAACACCATCGGTGAAGGGCGAGGAAGAGAAAGTTGATCAGCGATCACGTGCTGTTTGATGTCTTCATTATCTGCAGTGCCTGACGCAAGTTGACAGCAGGTGTCTTCAGATGCTCCATGACCAATTTGTGGGAGCCCGACCTGTTTGCCTTGCGGGCAACGTCCAGTGCAGTTTGTCCCCAGCAGTTCTTCACACCTGGATCAGCTTGTGCTTTCAGCAACGCCTGCACGACTCTGTGATCCCCGAGCTTGGCCGCAACGTGGATGGGGAAGATACGCCGCCGCACCCAGCATGAAAAATGTACTGTTGGCTCATCTGCTGATTCGAACTGGTGCGTACGGAGGAAGTCACTCAAGATCTGCTCATTCTCGAGCCTTACCAGGGATCGACGTTGGGACCTCTCGGAGGGAGTGGTGCATCTCTGGAAGGATGTGAAAGCTTCAAGGCCTGCCCATCCCTCGACCTTCAGGGACTCAATCGTGCCGGGAATGCTGGTCTCGATCGTCTGCTCTCTTTTCAGCCTGACAGGTCTCGGCATGATGCCAAAACACACATCCTTGTGGGGCCTGTCAAAGCTAGCACGTGCGCTTGAGCAGAGGACGGCGGAGAGCAGAAATCGACTCTGACGGGCTGCAAGATCAAACCTACGCGAGTGGTTTCAAGCTCCTTTGCCCGTGCTGTGCAACGAATCGATTAACTTGTGTATCAAGCATTGAACCTGACCAAAACGAACAGGCAGAGGACACTGATGCACACTGGAGCCATGTGACTCAAAACCACTCAGGCAGCCGCTGCATCTTTGTCGCCCTTTTCCAGGAAGTGCCACAGCGCTTTCATGTTAGCAGAACAGACCGGGTGGCATAGGATGCCCTGATTTTGTGATGTTCTGTGTTTAGCAAGGAACAACTTGATCCGTCTGGAATGGTGGCGCACCTCTAGAATCAGTTCTTTCGCCTTGAGCCTTGGCATTCTGATGGTCGTCAACGTCCCTGCTGCTGAAAATGCGGCGATTTGCTCGGTCGGCACACCGAAGCTGCAGAGACGATCTGTCCGCTCGAATCGGTACAAAACTCCACGCCGTGGTAACTACTTCGCAATGCAGAGCCGCCCTCCTGAGTCCGAGCCCTCCTGAGTCCGAGCCTCCCGAACAGCTCCGCCGGAACCGCTGCGCGCCGAGCTCGGCGACGGCAGGTTTGCACCTGAGACGCAAGAGCCCAATCAGATGTCCAATTAACCAATCATAGATCCCATTTCATCTGCAGTAGTATCAGTGTTCAAGTAGTGTAGTGCCCAGGGAGCAGTCGAAGATATTGCTGGGAGCCTACGGACATGCACCACGGTTTCTAGACAGCCCAATGCCCCTTAATTAGGGAGTATACCTTAAACTATGTAGGGATCCTTCGTATGATTTAAGGTATATGCTGTAGTTAAGGGGTATTGGGCTCTTTGGGTTGAGGCTAGGCAGAGTGCTGAGGCTGCTGCTTGCCAGAGGCGGTGCAGGCGGTCTTGAGACCTGTCAGTGGTGCCACTCTCACGCCGCTTTGAGACTTTGAGCTCGGCAGCAAGTGGAAACACCAACTTGCACACCGGTCCAACCCCTCACATCCCAAAATGCCCAAAACGGACCCAAATCCGGCAATGCTCGAAGAATCTACTCCAAAATCTGTCTTCGGGGCGCGGCCCACCTGCGGAGAGAAGTCTGGCGGAAGGCTGTGACCACGCGAGGAGGCCAGCTCCCGCTTCGGATCTGTCGCATAGCATGGATGTCAGCACGGTGCATTTTATTCGTGACCGATGAGGCATGTGAGTGTATTCAGCCATTTGATATTTCTAGGCTTGATTAGAAGTTGTCTTGTTCGAACAGTACTTGTCATCCATTTTTAGTTATTGCATATTTGGGATGTGTTCTGTATCATCTAAGAGTCCATTACTCTCCGTGTTTTCTGCTATGGTTCTGATGTATGCTTATTCATTCAATTCATTCTCGTGTCTTCTTATGCGCTTATTCGTTCCCAAAACAATCCAAGAGCCACCCTCTAGAAGAACAAGGCTCTACAAGGCTAAGCGAGGAATTGAGGGTAGAATCCACCACAATCTCGCAGTGCAGTGTGCAGGTAGGGTAAAACCCAAAAACACAGAAATCCAAACGAACCCACCACAACGAGACGAGACTCAAGAGCTTGCGTCATGTCTAGCATATAGATGCTAAGCTGGTGGTCAACGCAGCTGAATTTCGAACTCAAACGAACATGACATTCTATCTTCTAACACAAGCCCAAGAGGAATTGCACAAAGCCGTAAGGGGGTTTCCGAAAACAGGGGTACCTTATTGGCTCCGTATTCTAAAGGAATCCTACTATTTGGGGGTCTGCTGTATATTGGGTGTCCCCGATTTTCGTAAACCCCCATAAGGTTAGCGCAGGTGGCCTTGAGGGGAGGAGGTTTCGCTGGGTGAATCAGCCGGGGGGAGCTCCTGGTGTGCAGGGCCGTGGGAGTCGTGTTTGGCAGGACTAGTCTACAAGGGAGTTGGCGAGGATGTTGCGGGTTAGGGTTTAGGGTTTAGGGTTTAGGGTTTAGGGTTTGGGGTTTGGGGTTTGGGGTTTGGGGTTTGGGGTTTGGGGTTTGGGGTTTGGGGTTTGGGGTTTGGGGTTTGGGGTTTAGGGTCGGCCATCAAGGGGACAACAAACTGGCAAGCCAACCCTCGTTCTATCAGGGGACTTTGAGCTGGAGAGTTCACAAGAGTGATGCAGAATGCAGGGTGCTACCTACATGTGATCCGCAAATCCAAATCGTCCGGCAGTTGACAGTGATTCCAAGCGTCCAACGGGGTGTGTTCAGGACTACATCTTGAGTCTGGCAGAAACAAAGATCTAGAACCCTAGAAACAAGGCTTGAGTTCAAGGCGAGCTCTGAGAACATCTTCGATGTTTGCGGACCTCTATAATTATGTTGCATCTGATGCAACATCACACAAAGAGTCGTTCTGAGCCACGTTGCAAAACAAAACCGACTATGTCAGCCGTGGCGCCGTAGCAACGTTGTCAGAAAGATAGCCGCGAGACGACAAGTCCTTGATCGCGGCTCTACTGAAGGAACCTACACGGTGTCGAATCCCATTTCTGGCTCCTCTTGAGTGTTGAATTCGCGCTTTTCAGTGCATTTCTCTCTGCACGAATCTGCACTTGCCCAGCACCAGATATCCCGGTATTCCAGGCAAACTCCAACCTGCAACAACGGACCCTTGCAGAAAGGACGTTCTCTAAGCAAACGGCGCCAAAGCGATGGCGGTAGCCCTCGAGTTCCCGCCTCGGCTTGGTGAGGCACATGTTGAGACTACAGTGACTACAGGGTTTGGGGTTTGGGCGGTCTCTAAAACCTGTCGTGGGTACAGACCCCTCTTGGGTTTAGGCTAATTAGGGTGCATGCATTTACAACTAAGGTCACCCAATGTCACCCAAGCGGCCGGAGAAGCGCGTTCTCTGACCGGAGCTCCTGCAAGACGCGCTGATGTTCCTTGGGCAGAGTGGTGATCGCATCTGATTTGAACTGAAGAGCTGCAGCAGAAACAGCGCAGTGCAAGTAATGTTGACTTGCCTTACAACAGTCCCCCTCCACCCTCCCCCACCCGCGCAACAATAAGAAACCTAAATTCCGGAAGCTATTCATAAACCCCCCCTCCACAATTGAGAACACAAGCTGCGGGAAACGAATCGGCCAGCCTTGTTAATAGGAAGAAGCGGAACCCCTCCCCCTCCTATCGCCCCCTCCTCCCGGCATTTTCGGCCACCCCCCCAAACCCCCCCCAACCCCCAGACCCATGAAAACAGTCACGCGGGGAAGGTTTATCTTTGCGAAGTGGACAATAGCGGGGACGGCCCTGGCGACAGAACAATTTGTCATAAAGCGGCGGTACATAAGCAAACCTCGAAGATCCCAACTAGAAGTTGGTGGTATCCTTTCAACATGCTGTAGAAGTTTAAACCGTACCAAATCTTCCTTTTTGGCGTCCAACTCCAGAATAGTACAACAAAGGACATTATGGGTGCAGGGGAGACATCGCAGCCTAAACCCGAAACCCGAAACCCGAAACCCGAAACCCGAAACCCGAAACCCTAAACCCTAAACCCTAAACCCTAAACCCTGAACCCTGAACCCTGAACCCTACTTCTTTAAGCATCGAACTACTGCCAATCTTGGGGGAGGGATCAAGTTACTTCCACCGGCCCGAGGCCGCAGCATCCAGCTGCAGAATGGGTGTATTCTGGATGTTCATGGCCTGCACGTGGGGGTTTTAGGTTTAGGGTTTAGGGTTTAGGGTTTGGGGTTTGGGGTTTGGGGTTTAGGGTTTAGGGTTTAGGGTTTAGGGCACTTGTCAGGAGCGCGCAGTGCACCCAAGATTTGCAAAGGCCCTTGGCTTGATCCTTGCTGTGGGGATGCGTCAGCTGACGTCAGCCGGAGACATCTTCAAAGGACGTCTGACATTTTTGCGGGGAAAGGACGAGGTCAGGTTCCTTGGGGTGGGCAGAGCGGAGGTGCCCTGTCTCAGACAAGAAACAACGGAGCAAACATGCTCGCAAGATCTTAAACCCTAAGCCCTAAACTCTAAACCCTAAACCCTAAACCCTATACCCTTAACATTCAGTTTCGGCAATTATGTTGCATCGACTTATCGCACTTGCTCGTACTTAAGGTTCTTCATCTTGCCCGAGTCATGTTGGGATTTCCGAAGATCGGGGTACCCTTTTTTTGGGGTCCCTTCAAGGGGATTCCATTCTATTTTATTTGGGGGTATGAAAGGGGTAACCCTATTTTGGGCAATACCCATGTGCCCTTGCTGCCAGATTCTGGAATACAAGCCAGGGAAGAATCTCAAGCAAAGCAGCCCAAGCCATGGATCCCAGCCTTCTGCGCGTAGTTTAGCGAGTTGACCGACTCCTCGGCGAAGGCCGAGGCAGGCGAGATGCAAGTGACCTGAAGCGCCAAGTCCGCACAGCCTGCGGTTAAGGCATTCTGCTTCAGAAGCTACCCTAAACCCTAAATCCTAAACCCTAAACCCTAACCCTAAACCCTACTGGAACGGCATTCTGCTTCAGAAGCTACGCTAAACCCTAAATCCTAAACCCTAAACCCTACTGTAACAGTAGATGTACGGAGGGGGATGCCTTTCGGGATTCCATGGCTACGGACTTAGTTCAACTGAACCTTGTTGAAGTGAGGTTGTGAAGCTCTGAGGTATGCAGCAGGAGGTGGCACCTCCAACGTGCTCACAACCCAGAAGTGTATGTGTAAGTACTGCCTCCTACTGCGTGGAGGTCGGGAGAACAGGAGTCTGCGCAGGACCGAAGTTTCTTCGGTGGGGTTTACAGTAGCTCTGCACCAGACTTGCTACGGCCGCACAATACCGACACCCGAAACCTCACGTTGCCCAACTTCATCCAACTTCACCAGGCCAGGCCGGGCGTGGGACCATCAGGCATAGAGCTGAACCGCCAAAACTGTCCTTCTTCACAGCTTCTTCAAAGTCTTCATGGCTTCACGATATGGACCGCACACGTCTCGAAACCGTCCTGTGCCCTTGCAGCCGCGACGCGAAATGCATGCTTAGGTTGCCGTTTCACGCTACCAGGTGAACAGCTGAGCATGCTACGGCAACTTCCGCCGAAACTACGATGTGAGGTCTTGCAAGAATACTATATATTAAATATATATATATATACCCATATATACTAAAATACTATATATATATATATATAATACTATATTATACGCAAGTCACGAGAGCTCAGGCAGCAAGCTATGCATGAAACACCCAGCAGCTGCAGTGTTTCCGATGCACAATCGGATCTCCTGAAGCAGCTGCGTCAGCTTCGAGTTCCTGTACGGTATGTGCCTGGCTCAAGATTCTTCGGAATCCACGCTATACATATATATATATATATACATGTATATACATAATGGTGTTTAACTTACTTGCGTACAATATATTCGATCTAATACATTATGATATATATATATACATACATATAGAGCATTATATATGGTAATATACATAGTATTATATATATACACATATATATATATATATACATATATATATATATATATATAATCTTCACACCAAGAAAACACATGTAAACTGAATGACATCATTATACCAAATCTTCGTTGCTATAAAAAAACGCCACGACACATCTCTTCATTGGAGGCAAGCTGTCGGGCCTCTCAGCCTTTCCCTGGGACAGCTGCGAGATAACCTGGCGCATGCCACCGGAGTGCTGGGGTTTAGGGTTTAGGGTTTAGGGTTTAGGGCTTAGGGTTTAGGGTTTAGGGCTTAGGGTTTAGGGAATCCGAATAATTGATTGCGATCAGCAACCCTCGTACATACTGCTCAAGCATACAAACAGTGCTTCTAGAATCCTGCAAAAGTCACAAGCTCAACGTCGCACGTCATGAGTTTCATTGCTGTCTTGATTGGTCCATACATAAACTTCCTAGCAAGGTGACTTTGCGTGCGCATGCGTCTGCCTGGCCAAGGGTAAACAGGGACTTGTTGATCGCCTGTCGGGACCAAGCAGAACAGGGAGGTGATTTTGTAAGGACCCTGTGCACGCTGCATGGCACTGTACCGGACCAAAGCCTGGCAGACCAACTCTGCTGTAGGAACGGAGATCTACAGTAATAATAGTAATCATAATAATAATAGTAATAAGTATAATAGTAATAATAATAGTAATAATAGTAATAATACTAATAGTAATAGTAACTATAGTAATAATTATACTAATCATAAAGGATCGGAAAGACCTTCAACCAGCCAAAGCCCTTCACATGATGGCACAACTTCCACGCAGCAAGCGACTCTTGCAGGTCAGGGCTTTGTTGATTTCATGAAGCGACCACTTAACAGCTAAGAAATCTCAGCCTGCACTCGTTGCAGCCTCTTCGGCGCTTTCGGCGCTTTGGCCAGAAAAACCGGATCTTTCGCGCGGAGGAACGGAGGAAGCTGGCAACAGGCAAGCAGCGACTCGCACTGCTGCAATGGGGTTATGAGTGGATTTGCCTGGCGGGCCTAGCTCAAGCTTGTTCATTCGATGTTTGCTGCCAACTGAGAACTTGCACACAGGCTTGATCATCCTGAAAACCCATGACATCGCTGTATGACCCAAGCGATCTATACAAAGAACCAATTTCTGCGGCTCTCAATCCCCTCGGCCCCAGTAACTTCTGCAGAGAATCCTCAGGCTCAAAGCTCAGTCCGCTGTGCTGTCTGCCCACCTTTGCCAGTCTTCCGGGCCTTCGATGGGTCCTGTTTCAGAAAGTCGCAAAACTGGCCTAAACCCACGGCTCCCAAGCATGCCCCTCATCTGTCCTCCCAGTTTCGCAGGTAACGGGTGACCTGCACTTCACGAGGCCGCTTCTCTCTTATCTGACAGCAGTGAGGGGCCGAGTGGCCGATGCGTGCTGGTAGAACTCCGCGTGGTCTGCCTGCAGTGGCTTCAGCATGGTTCAAAAAAATGCCAGAGCTCCTCTGCGCAGGTTCGACACATGCTATTGCAGGACCAGGTGCGAGTCGTCTTCCCTGAGCATCAGAACGGGCCAAATCTGCCCGCCACTCGGCGAGCCTTGCTCAGTCTCAGCACAGCAGATGTAATTATGCAGCTTTGAGGCAGCCAGGCCCCCAGGCCAATTGAATCAACTAGCGATCGCCAAGCAAGATCCCGCCAAGTAGCTTCTTCAACACCGGCAGGTGCCCTTTGCTGGCTGCATGGATGGCAGCGCTCTCATAGCCTGTATGAAGCGATGTGTGGGTTCATGGAACAGGTTTGGGAGACTTTGGCCAGTTGCACATGTTTCTGCTGACGAGTCTCTGCGGCTTTTCTGTTTATGCATTGCGCTTTGAGAACTTGTCTACTGGCATGATGTATGCGCGGGAATCTACGGCGCAGAATGCTGCCCCCTGCCTTTCGCTGACTTTGGCGAATGGTGCTTCAGCAAGGCTTCCAGCCTCGCGACCAAGGAGTGAAACAATAGCAAAGACGGCATACTGAGCTGTAAGTCCAGTGCTCCGCAGAGTTGCAGCTCCAGAGGCTGTTCGATTTCAAGCTTCTGAGGCCCTTTTATGAGGCTTGAGGCCTAAAGGCCTCCTTTACCCAGCGCGCTGACACACCAAAACCACGGCCAGGGTGCAGGGTCGGGTAGCCCCCGTCTGCAGCGGAGCCGAAGGGGGCCAGGCCCCTCCTTGGCAACAAAAAGAAGCGGTAATGCACAGCTGCCCTCAGCCCTAAACCCGAAACTCTAAACCCTAAGTGTAAACCCTAAAACAAACAAAACCAGAATCCGCCTCAGATCAGCTACTGAGCTGTCCTTCAAGCAAGTTGCTCGTCCAGCGTCTTTAAAGAAGCGCGCTTCTGAATCCTCGGCTGCGTTCTGTCTCACGAAAGATGCCAGATATCTTGGAAAAGGGGGTGGCATCACGGCACAGGAATTTTCGGTTCGGGGCACCAGCGGGAGTTCTTGCAGCTGAACAACGCTGCTACCCCGCATCTTGCAGCCATGCTGCAGCAGATCAACCACCGGCCCTGCATCATTGTAAGCTGCATGGTGCAACGGCTGCTTGCCAGTCGCGTCTCTCCTTTGCAAAGTTCGGTCGCAGTTGTTGGAGCAAAGAGCAGATGAGATGAGTCTAGGAATGCAGGCTTACAGCACATTACTCCTTGAATTCACGTCATGGCTTAAGCCGCCAGCAGTTGCCGCATTCGGCAATGCTGTGCGATACATGCACTTTGAAGCCACGCGATTTCACTGACTGCATTAGCCTGCAGCAAGTTGAACAGTGGCACACATTGCAGAACCTGGGCTGCAATTAGTGGTGCAGACTGGCACCGGTGGGAGCAACAACGCTAATGATGTCTTATGCTTCGGAAGGTATTTGCAGTTGGCCTATGTTGATACGGCCACTGCAAGCCTTCCACTTTCTTTTCTGATCAATTAGACAGCCTCGCATGCAAGACGAGCTTCCCACGAATGTCTGCCCTGCGCTCGAGCAGCATCTGCCTGGGTCCGGTTTTGCTCCATTCAGGGGTGTCTCGGTGTTAGGTGGCCCTGGTATAGGGTGCTGATCGCGCCTGAATGAACTGTGCTGCGCCAACAGCATCGGTTAGTCGCAAAGGATAAACAAGGCAAGGCAATCTTGATGCAGGTCCCCCGACCAGTGCTTGCAGAATGTGATTCTTTCATATGGAGATCATCCATGAAGCCTGACATTGGGGATCAGAGCGCCAGGCAGATCAACTCAGTTTCGGTTGGCGTTCGCCGCGCACACACACACAGACAACCTCACTCTCACACAGTTGCGCCCAGCACACTCTCACACCCACACACAGTGCGGCTCGAAATCCACACGCAGTTCCTACGGAGATTAGTACTCTCTGCCAGTGTAGACCACAAAACAGTGGATAAGCTCAGCACGATGCTGAACCGGACTTTACTAGTACAAACTTCCACTACCACTTTCAACATTCCAGGCCAGGAATGTCAGAAACTGAGCCGGACACGAACCAAAGCTGCAGGAACCGTGCTGCTTGAACCGAACATACCCGAACTCCACTTTGTTGCTTTCTCCTCTGCCCACCCTTCATTGGGGAATACCTACCGTACAAGTTGCCTTCGAACATGTCAGACACTGGCGCAAGCAATGGCAACCCAAAAATTCTCGGCAACTAGTAGCATCAAAGAGTAGAAGTCATGATCCCTGAGAACCCTAAACGGTAAACCCTATACCACATGAGTTTTGAGTTGCTCTGTCAGAGTAATTAGCCTTCAAGGATTCCGCGCGACTCCCTCTCTGAGGTACCCACGCGACCTCCAGCTGGCCATTCCTCAATCCACTCGCATGACATCACATAACCAGAACAGCTGCAGTACCGCCAAGCTCTTTGCGAGGGCTTCTGTGCAGAAGTGCTTCTGCTCCAACACACATGACACTCGCATGCGAAGGAGGCACAACGACATCTATGCCCACCGTTCACTCGTCCAATGCTGGCCGTGATGCTCTGCCGCTGTGTGCAGGGGTGGCTTGCCCTCCTCCGGGAGTGGCGACTTTCATGCGCGATGCCACGAAGTTCAGCGAAGCGTTCTCTTCTAACATCAATGCCGGCTTTGCGGACTAGAGACCTGGAGACCTTCAGGCTTGGCATGGCTTGCAGGCCTCCAGAGGTCCTTGCAGATCTGCTCGCCTTGGCATTTCCGTGTTAAGAATGGAAGCGATTGCAACAGCTTTCGACGATGTTGAGCATTTTGCTAAGAATTGAAAGGCTCACTGTGAGCCGAGCACTTGCCGCGGCTTGCGTGCTACAGTTTGTGCAGGTGTGCATCCTAGACTCGTAGCTCAAGGACTGCTTGGTCGTGGATTGTGGGTCAATGACACGTACAAGTTCAATACCATTGTGCTCCAAGCGTCAAATCAGCAAGGAGCGCCACCATAGATGTGTAGCCGTACCTTCCGCAGGGCAAGGGCCCTCTCTGGAAATAGCCCTTTGCCGATGCAGAGCGCACTGCAAGACTAACGTTCTCATTGTTTGGAGCCAATGGTCAGAAGAACTCTCTGAATCGAAGGCTCAGCAACCTGCGAGAACCCACTCCCGACAACACAAAGCCGATGAGGCACTCGGTCGCATGGCTCAGCCCCCGGTGAAGCTGCGCAGCCGAAACCTTCCACTTCTGCTTTGCCTGGAGGACCATTCAAGTGGCATCTCACACCAGATCCACTGCTGAGAGGCCCCGGAATCATCCACTTTGAAGCTGCCCGTGCCCTGAGCAATGTGGAAAGGGTAGACCACCCAATACAGATCTGTGTAGCCGCAAAGCTGAAGCTCAAAAAGAATCCAGCTTGTATCTGAGCGATACTACTCTGCTCCTGTCTGTGCTTTAGCCAAGGTACCAGGAGCTCCCTTGCCAGGTCTGTCTGCCCACGATGCACCGCGCGCTCCTGTGCCCCCGCAGCATTCCCCGAAGACTCTCTTTCGGAGCGAACTAACTCACGTGGTCCATGACAACTGCACCGAAACTGCTGCACTCGAGGGGGTTGCTTGTAGAATACTTCTGAGTGAAAGGGATTACTGCCGACCTTCCTAGCGATGACCACACATCATCTAGATTTCTATCGGCCTATCGGATGCAACCGGCAAGTTCAACATCCGTGCACAGCCCTATAGCGCTCCAGTGGGCTCATCTTTGGGAGACGCCCCTGTGCACCGATGCCGAAGACGAAAGAATCCAGGTTGCAGGTGGCGTGTAGCCTGAAGACATTCACAACTTTGAGCGGTAAGACGGCTTTTTGCTAAACCCTAAACGCTAGACCCTGAACTCTAAACCTTTCTAAACCCTAAACCCTAAAACCGAAACCATTAAACCCTAAACCCTAAATCCTAAAGGTCCTAAGCCCCAGACCCCAAACCCTAAACCCACATCCTAAACCGATGCATACAAGCTCCGGGCCTCGGCCCAAAGTAGACAACCTCCCCTCTAAGCCATTTAATTGGAGTGTTGTTTTCTGTTGAGGAACCCCGGCTGCTGTATGCAGAACCGTAGACCGGCTGGAGGAGGCTCCTCAAGCAAGCATACGCAGTTTGCCCGCAGGTCCATGTTATATCAACAATTTAGGTGAAGGGTTTAGGGTTTAGGGTTTAGGGTTTAGGGTTTAGGGTTTAGACTTCAGGGGTATCGTATATATACTGTATACATGTAGGAGCAAGAACTTCTGAGGCTCTGAAAGGTCTCCTCGAGCCACTGGCAGGGGTGCTGTGTGTTGGCACGTTCCTCGCCTCGGCTGCTGCATCTGATTTCTCAGCAAAAGGTTTAGGGTTTAGGGTTTAGGGTTTAGGGTTTAGGGTTTAGGGAGTCAAGTCGGATATGCCAGCTTCCGCACGGCACTCACGCGGCACTCTGTAGAAGATGATTTACTGCGCATGGCAGCGTCTCCACATTTTGGCTTTAAGGCTGGCGCAGCACTGCTACCTTCACGTCTTGCCAAGCATCGGTCAATCTCATCCGAAGGATCTGCAGGGGCGATCCACCATGCCTTGCAGAGACTATGGGATGCGCTTCGGGGCCGGGGTATGGTCCCGCTTGAAGATCTGCGGGACAGCCAACACCACTGCCACCCTTCCGCACCATAGAACTGGCCCGGGATCAACTGCATGCTGCTATAGGGGCCCCCAAACAACATACGGCTTCTACAAAGAGGGCTCTCTAGAATTCCGCCTCTTTTTTAGGGGCCCCTTATACCCCATAGTTAGTATCCTTCTGTTTGTGCGGCTTTTCTGGGGGGCCCCTACTTGGAGGTTCAAGGGTACTTATAAAAGTAAGGTTATGCGTAAGGTAACTACTTTATTTAGGGCCCTTAGAACCCCACTTCTAAGTACCCATTATCCTAAACCCTAAACCCTAAACCCCAAACCCTAAACCCCTCTTCAAGCAAATGCTCTCCTCAACCCTGGGCATCGCCAATTCTTGGCAGGCTCGGCCTTGCGCCCGTGCAGAATGGCGAGCCAGGTTTCCTTCGAAGAGCAACTTTAGGGAGACACATGGGGGGTTAACGATACTCGGGGGTAGGGTTTAGGGTTTAGGGTTTAGGTTTTAGGTTTTAGGGTTTAGGGTTTAGGGTTTAGGGTTTAGGGTTTAGGTTGTGGGGGGCGCCTTATTACAAGGGGATCCTACTATTTGGGGGTCTACATTAGGGGCTCCCTTATTTGCCGCAAACCCCCAAATGGCAATGAGAGATCATGAGAAACACGGTTCCGCCATCCAACCTGCTCCCCTCCTTGAAAGCTGAGTTTTGTTTGGGAAAAGTAGAGAAAGGGCAAGACTACCTCCTTGAGCTTTAGTCAGGGGTGTTCAGGGTGCTAATAGGGCGCTTCGCAAGACCACGAAAAAATACCCGTGCGTGATTCTCCAAAAAAATCTGCTTATTGAACTTGCGCTGCAACTCATTGCCGCTCAAATCCACACAGACCCAGATTGCTGGGCTAGGAGCCCCAACAACATGGAACCCGCAATCCGGAAACGACGTCCGGGAAAGTCCCCCGCCTCGTGGAAGTGAAGCTGCGTCCCAGAGGCTTCCGCCATTCCGATCTGCACCGTGGGCCTCAGGTCGAAATCTGCCTTAGACGTTCTCAAGCTTGCATTTTTTTTTTTTTCTTGGGGGGGGGGGGGGGGAAATCTAAACTATGACGCCCAAAGGGGTCCCGGCTACAATGCGGAGCCCTTGTGTTTAGCGCACGCCGCGTTACCATAGCTTTTCGTCAAAGGCAGAAGCCGCGCATCACCCTCATTGACAGAATCATCGCACTCACGTCACAGATCCAACATGATTCAATGCTCGTCTGGTCTGCCACATCTGTTTGACTTGCAAGGGTTCTGACCATGCAGCATGATCATGTAGACTTGACTTTGGCAAGGATTTCTTCCAGGGACCATTCCCCAAAACAGTGTTGGCAGAACTATGGCCTTGAACCCTAAACCCTAAGCACTATGCATCAAGGGACTATTCAAAAGTTCCTGGCCCGGCTCTCGTCGTGGGTCGAAATCGCGCTTTAGCCTAGACATGGGCCTAGGCATGAGTGGCTTTCACAGTAACAATATAACAAAAACGAGGCATCGGCATCGGCGAAAGGCGTGCGCAATTCTGTCGGCCCGTTTTTTTCATCGGGACAACAGACGTCAAGAGACACAACGGTGCGCAGAGAACTACCAGCACGTGTCAGCACACACATCTGAGCAGAGCTGCCAGGATCCGGGGACTCATCTCCTTGGAGATGTTGTCTTGGCAATGCCAGCTGGCCACCGTCGATGGAGAACAGCGTCCCTGACGATGCTCACTGACTTTGGGGGGAGGGGCGTGTTCCGCGCCGCGCTGTGGTGTAAGGTTCAGGGTACGTCTGCTCTGCTTGCGACAACCCCGACTGCGAAACATCTTCAGCAGCTCGACAGGCCTCGGGCCCCCAGAAGGCTTCCGATACCAAGCGATGGGAGTAGCCTGCGCATTTGGGCAGGGGTTCAGGGCACAGAGTCTGAAGTCCACGCGCAATCGCTCTACTTGCCTTTGGCAACCAAGTTCTTGCCCGTCTGGTTCACGGAGAGAAAGAAATCCTGCACCAGAAGGCGTTCAGCATCAAACTGCATCGGGAAGTAGAAGGAACGCATGAGAAGGTGAAGCAAAGGAGCCGCGCAGAGCTTGACACTGCGCAGCACTACTCGAAGAACCCACACTTCCCTAACCTTTTTGCATCAGCTGAGAACCATACGAACCATAGAGCTATCTTCAGGCATCAGAATCCCCCACCTCAAGAAAAACTTCTGGTGTGGCTTCTGGCCGATCCCAGCGCCCGGTGCCTGCATGGGTGATCTGGTTTCGCAGCTCATGACTCACCTCACCTCCCTGGTACTTCAAGCATCCGAAAGCGACGACATGCTTCGATACAAGCACCAAGGCAAGCCCCGCAGATGAGCGCTTAAAGAGGCCAGGGCAACTCTTCTGAGGCATAGATCCACTGTCTTGAAACTTTAGACCTGCCTTATGGCCTTATGGTTACTCAATGGAAACGGTGTCTCAAGGAGCCCCCGGAGATGTTCAAGGCATGAGCTTCCGGTTCCAATTTGACTCATGGAGGAGCTCCCTGCCTGTCTGGATGAAGTGCCGTCCTGCAGAACAACCATGGACCCATATAAACCCTCAAACCTAAACCCTAGAAGCCCAAAACCCTGTATATATATATATATGTATATACATACATACATACATACATACATACATACATACATACATACTTAACGTAGATATCCGCCGACCCCCTTTGTCGGCGTCAAGAAGCTGGACTCGTACCTTGCCCGCTGGACCCGCTAGTGGCCTTCCCCATGGACCCGCGCGGCTTGCTTCCTACGTGGATGGACCCGCGCGTATTGTAACCCACCTCCATACGCCGCATGACCCATTTCCCAACCCCGCCCCCCAACCCCCCCCCTCCCTCCCCTCCACCCGAGCCAGAAAAAACAACCAATTTGGTGTTTTGGACCAGCAGGTGGAACCACGCGTTTTGGGAGCCGTTTCCCTACCCCCCCCCCCCAGCGCCCCTCCCCCCCCCCCCCCCCCCCCGCCCCCCCCCAACCCCCACCCACCCCTCCCAACCAATTTTGGAACCACGCGTTTTGGGAGCCGTTTCCCACCCCCCCCCCCCAAGCCGCCGGCACCCAGGGCCGACACGGCTGCCACGCTCATCACGTCAAGCACACTGGACCGAAGTGCCTTTCGGGGTGGCGAGCCGGGATCGGGCTCTTCCACCTTCAACCACGGCGCCTCATCCAGAACCCACGACAGCCTTGTTGTCTCCAGCCGTGAGACGCCCTGCCAGCTTGATTTCTTGACCGACATGACCAGCACACTGCTGCCGACCTCTGGCTTGTACGAGCTCATGTCCCCGGTGAAGTCGATTGCCACGTGGAAGGCCGCATTTTGCAACACCACTTGCCGACGAGGCAAGCCCGTCTGCGTTGGTGACGGCGCTTCGCCGCCACTGTGCACGACGCCCATGAAATTGAAGATCGTGTCCATAGCTGCTTGCTCCAGCTGCTCCGGCGCCAATGGTGAGGCGTCGCGCAGACAACTCAAAGCAAACCCAACCAAAGTCCGGTCCAACTTCTTCAGGGGGAAGGCACGGCGAATGAAGCAGGGAGCACGGATGCCTGTCTTCGGGCCGGACGAATAATTCCGAACCACGCCACGTGGCAGAACTGTGGCGAAAGCCACACGCAATGGCAACGAGGACCATTGGGCCTTCGCATCCTGCACTGCTTGCACTTCATACTCGCAGCCATCGGTGCACAGGATCCGGGCGCACACTGTTTCGGTGGCCCAGGCTGCTTCAGTCTTGCGAGCAACGACCTGGAACTGAATCTCCTGTGAAGCGGCGAACACGTTCAGAGGCATGACCGCTGCGCAAACTACCTAGTCCGGCTCGACCACATCCAATGCTGCGGCATCCAACGGTACCACTGCCATTCAGCAACTGACGCGCCCGGCTGCCGATCGATAACCTGATCATTACGTGCATGCTAGGTCGCACACATGCTGCAAGCAGGCTCAGAAGTGTTGCTGCACTCCGGACGGTCTGCGAAATCATGCCCGCACATGCCCGACCATGCCCGCAACTCTGCGCGTGCTTGCGCACGTGCGAGCACGGAAAAGTTGTGCCCTTCACGGGAGAAAGAAAGGTATGGACCTCCGTCACGGTCCTTCAAGGTATGGACCTCGGTCACGGTCCTTCTCGCGCCTATTACTCAGCGGCTGTCGCTGCATAGGCGGTAGTGCTGCCTCGCTAGGAGCACTGAACCTGCGCCAGAGCATCGCCTACGCGTCCTCGTCACTCGCAGGCTCAGCTTGCGCGCTGGCGATCCGCGCAGCAGTGACTCGGGTACCTCGATTGGCCAGCACGGGACACGGTTACAAGCTTGCCGCAGCTCAATGCAGTGCTGCTACTTCTGCATGTATGCTTGCCGAGACGCTTAGCACACCACCTCCGCCAAGTGATCTGCAAAACGCCGCTTTTGGCGCGATCCGCGGCGGCACTGCAACAAGTCCGTGGCCAGCGACGACGCTGCCGCTAAGCGCTCCGCAGAACTCTGCGTGGCGGCACGCACCTGCTGCCAGCTGCCGCGCAGGCGAATACGATCACGCCCGCACTCTCAAAATCAAATGCTCACCCGGCCTTCCGATCCTCAGTCATCTCCTCCTGCGAGAGCAGCCGCACAGAGCCTGCGCCTTCCAAGCTGGCCGCGAACTGCTGCCACGTGCCCTGCGCACACCGCGCGCTCCCCCGGATGCGCGTCCCTTGCGACAATGGGATTGTCTTCAGCAGCCGTATCGGCCCACAGTCCAACCTGCGCACATGCTGCGGCTGCTACTGCTGCAATAAATGGTTGGCGCGCAGCCCGGGACCCTACCAATTCCAACATACTCTCCCCGACCGCTCCTAAGCCCTGTTCATGAACTTCAACGGTAAACTTACCTTTTGGCCTCGGACTTTACTGCCGCCGAGCCACGCGTAGCGCTCCAGCATAGCGCGGCAGTCGCTGCGCGATCGGAACGTATGCTGAGCATCCAGGTCCAGCATGAACTCGTACACCTGACTTGCAAACTGCTCTGACTGGCGCACCTGGGCAAACGCGATTGGCCTGTGCCCTCTCCTCGCGGATTTGGTCCTGCGTTGCAACTCTGCCATGTCATGCTAACTCACAAGGCGCGCCACTCGAGGCCGTGTTTTGCGTGAACTTCACGCGGCTGCATCGCACACCCTCACCGCGCCGACCTCGGCTGGCACGGTACCCCCTTGCCCTTCCGTGGTCTGCAACTTGCCGGCCTGCCGAGCACCGCGGGCCCGCTATGTGGACAACTGCTAGGCACGCGTGCTGCCAGCGTGCCACCCTGCCTCTGATTTCATCGATGGCACACCCTCTCCAGCCTGCCAGCCAAGTGCAGCGCGTCTGCAACTGCTCCGACATCCGTGCTAAACATCCCGTCCCGCCTTACCATCCGGCACCTGCAAATCACGAACCAGCTGCACTGGCACTGTTTTTCCTACAGCCTGCCTCTGGGTTCGCAGGCGCCGCGGTCGCTGCTTTTTGACCTGCTGTTTGTCCAGCCTTGCCGACAGATGCTTTCTGGGGCCCCAGCGCTGCAACTCCGATGTCTTTGCACTGCTACAGTTTTGCATACGCCGCGCCGGCACGCTCTCCGGCGCTGCAGCCCCTCCCGTTTGTCCAGCCTGAGCCGCTGCACCCACTTCTTGCCGCGCTGTGCCTCCTGCGACTTGCTCTGCTCCTCGCGAGCCGTGGTCGCTGCCGGTCCGGCCTAGTTGCGGCCAACACAGGCAGTCTCACACTGCAACTGCCGCGCTCAGAACCCCAGCTAACCCGCCTTGTCGTCCGCCAGTTTCAAGCCCGCCATGGCAGCGTCGACACCGCTCAAAGCCATCGCAAACAACTAATGCTCGGCTACACTTGAACACCTCGGCCCAGCGATCTAAACAAGAACCCATCTCTGCCTCAGAACCTTCGTCCGAGCCCCTTTCCTAATGCCGCAACAGTGGTGCCTGCGCTGCAGCTCGGCGACTGCCTGCAGCAGCGTCCGCCGTCCTGCAGCGCGCCACGCACCGCTGAGAACCGGCCGACAGCTTCCAACACCGCGCCTCACGGCACTGGGAAGCCAACCGCAGCAACTCTGTCTGAACAGTCAATGCTGCGGCGTCCATCGTTACAACAACCATTCCGAAACTGCTTAAGCCACTGAAGTGAGGAGACTGGTGCTATCCTGCCTCCTGGCTTCTTGCCACGCAAAGCATATGCTTGGCCACTGACGTGAGGAGACTGCGGCTATCCCGCCTCATGGCTTCTTGCCATGCAAGCCTTTTATTACCCGGGGCCTTACTGAGAGTGAGGAGGCCTGCTCACTGCAAGCTTCCTAGCTCTTTAGGGGGCCTTAGCCACTGAAGTGAGGAGACTGGTGCTATCCGTATTGTGGCTTCTGCGGCTTCAAGCCACGCAAACCTTATCACCCCAGGCCCTGCTGAGAGTCAGGAGGCCCGCTCACTGCAAGCTTCCTAGCTCTTTGGCGCCTCCGCGTCAACGAAGGAGGCGTTCGCCGTTCGCACATCGCGACAGAAAGCACACCTACGCACCTCTCTCTTTTCCTTTCTTTGCGCCTCGCCCCTCACTGCTGACGCTCGCTCTCTCTTTTCCTTTCCCTCTCTCGCTCTTGCTATGGCTCTCTGCGCCCCCCCCCCCCTCCCCGCCACGGAGAGCATAGCGCCGCGGCGCGCAACCCTCCTATGCGCAACAGCATACACTCAAGCACTTCTGCGAAAGGAGAGCTACCTTGTCCAGCCCTCCTGCGCACAGCAACACGCAACTCTGCAAAACAACACGGCCTTCCTACTTCGAACATCACTGACAGCGCCTTTCCAGGAGAGCCGCCTCCCTCCTGCGCACAAGAGCGGCGCAGGTCACAACGACTCTGAACTCTTCAAGAGCAGAATGCAGCGCGGCCACAAGCAACACAACCAGGAATTGCAATGCGCGCGTTTTTTCCAGGCCGATAAAGAAGAATGTGCACCGGTGTACGACTCATCTACGCGACCACGCCGTCGCCGGAGCCACTTCCCCAGTCCTGCCACGATCCCCAGCCCCAATCCTTGCGTGGGCCGTCTCCAGTTCCAGCGTCTCCACCATTGCCATGGTCCTGCAGGGACTGCAAATTGACTGCAAACTGGAAACACTGCAACGGCACACGTGCTGCGGCGCTGCCTGCTCCCACTTCTTCTGGCGCTTCTCCTTCATCTCTTCATACCAAGTTGGCCTCTTCGTGCCCTTATTTTCTTCTTCTTCTTTTGTGGCCCTCGCTGAACTGTGGTTCCGCCCACCAGTCGTGCAGGTCCTCGGACGCAACAGGTCAGGGGTTCGACTTTAGAAGGCAAGGAGAGCCCGTAGCCCTCCTGCACGCACCAGCTGGCACCTCTCACGCTAAAAACGAAGGAGAGCCCACAGCCCTCCTGCACGCAGCAGCCGACACCCCTCACACTAAAAAGTTTTTAGTGTGGTAGTAGGCCTGCCTGCGGCCTCGGCTTCTAAGAAGGCGTCGATGGCTTCGAGGGCTACCTAAAAGGCTTCTGCAAAAAAAGGCTTCTGCAAAGTCGTATCCTGCTGACCAGCGGCAGTACCAGCAGGTCCGTGTATCCATCCAATCTGGCGCGCGAAAGGTATCTTCTGATCGTGCTGGCGTTTCGTTAGTCGGGGCGGTCTCAGACGCAGTGGTCGGAGCACCGGCCACGTCTTTCTCCTCCTCTTCTTCTTCTTCTTCTTGCTCTTGCTCGGCTCCCACAAACTCCCACTCTTTTGAAAGCATTTTGCGGGGCTCTGCTGGCGGTGGCACTGGCGCCACTCCGCCCCTCCGGCAGCAGCCCCTCTCGCAGCAGCTGTTACGCTCGCGCAGCAGTGCGTCCAGCAGCCGTTCGCGCGGATTCGCGCAGGCGTCAGCGCCCCAGCAGCCCGTCACGCAGCAGCTGCTCGTTGGCCAGAGGACTGGCTGCGGCTGCAAGATTTGCGGCATTGCGAAAGGCTGCTGCAAAAACGGCTGTGGCTGCTGCCACAGCTGCGGCTGCTGCCACAGCTGCGGCTGCTGCACGATCGGCTGCTGCTGCTGCAAGATCGGCTGGGGCTGCTGCAAAAATGCTTGCGGTTGCTGGAAACTTGCTTGCTGCGTGAACGGCTGAGGCTGCTGCACGAACGCCTGAGGCTGCTGCACGAACGCCTGAGGCTGCTGCACGAACGCCTGAGGCTGCTGCACGTACAGTGGCGGCTGCTGCAAGGGTGCTTGCGGATACTGCTGCACAGGTGCTTGCGGATTCTGCTGCAGAGGAGGTGCTTGCGGATGTTGCTGCGCAGCCGCTTGCGGATGCTGCGCGGGTGCATGCAGATGCTGCTGCTGCAGATGTGCTTGCGGATGTGGCTGCTGCACAGGTTGCGGCTGCTGCCAATGTGCTTGCGGATGTTGCCCCGCAGCTCCTTGCGGATACTGCGCTGGTGCTTGTGGATGTTGCTGCACAGGCTGCTGAGGTGCTTGCGGATATTGCCCCGCAGTTACTTGCCCCGCTGCTGCTGCTGCAGACCTGTCCGGCGCCGCAAGGGGTTCACCTCCGCCGAAAAAGGAAAGGAGGCTTGGACTCTTATAGTCTTCGTCTTGTAACACACTTGTGTCCAACTTGTGAACCTCCTCACACGTCCCAACCCGCCTCCTTGTCCGTCACCAAAACGAGCCAGCGCCTTGCAGGGATGCACTCGCTTATGCCAGCAACAAAACTGAACTGCGCAACTGTGCTTCGACCGGGCCCAAGCCTGCACAAGCAAGAGCAGCACAAGCAAGAGCAGCAGCACACGCGGGGCCATCGCGAAGTTCTTGAAGCTGGAGGGGAAAACGAAGTTTCGAGCAGAGTAACTGCTGTAGAGCAACAAGGCAAAAAAAGACACGCGCTGCGAGCAAAGCTAACGTGGCAAGCCAGAAGAGCTCCTGCCAAACGGAAAGGAGGCCGCCAGCGAGTCTGTCTCAGCCTCCTGCTTGGACCTGGACAGGAGCCCCCTTCAACTTCAACTTGCAACACTGCTGCTCTCAACGGACGCGTCTGCTGCAAACATCATCAGCTAGAAGCCTCCTGCCAAACGGAAAGGAGGCCTCCAGCCATTCTGTGTCTACTCCTGGCAAGCGCAAACGACTGGAACGGATCTGCATTGCATGTTTCCAAGCCCTCCCTGATCTGATTATGTTCTGTTCAGTTTCCTGCCACATGGAGAGGAGACCTGCAACGCTTTTTCTTGTTGTTTGGGATTGACCCCCCCCCCCCGCCCCCACGCCTCCCCTTCCGGCCCTTCCCCCTCTCAGAAATTAAAAAGGCCTCCTGCCATGCGTGTGCGCGTGCGTGCGTGCGTCCCCCGATCTGGAAATCCCTGCAAAAGCCAACCCGGCAGAGTGCAGGGGTTTAGGGTTTAGGGTTCAGGGTTCAGGGTTTAGTCCTGGAGCATCAGTCTTGCACACGGACGAGACTTGGGGCTGCTCTAATGCTACAAATGAAATACCAACTGTGGCCTCAAAAGCCTTGCGAAGGAACATCCTAACCCCAAAAAACCAAACACCAGCTGCGCTTGGCGGCTGAGGGCTTGTGGAGCTTGAGGTTCGGGGTTTAAGGGTTTAGGGTGTCTAAACTCCTAAACCCGAAACCCTAGCCCCAAACCCTAAACCCTAAACCCTAAACCCTAAACCCTAAACCCCGTAGCCTTGCGCTACCACTGGCGGCACCATCTTCTGCGGGACCACGGCGTTCGGGCCGAAGACCTGCCTCTGATGTGCAGACATCCAACGCTCATTTCGTAGGCATAACTCGTGCAAGGAACCTTTTGTATCGGTCAGCTTGCCCTTGCTGGCAGTCGGGCGCCTGCACTTGAGCCAGCCTCAGTGGCACGGGACTAGCAAGCCTGACACGAATGCTGCCAACGCGTGGGAAGCAGTGACAAGCAAGCATCTGGCGTTTTTCATGTCGAGACATACCTGCAGCTGCTAAATCCCGCTGACCCAAAGACAAGCGACATCTTCATTCGTTCTGGGACACCCATGTCCTCCTCAAAGGATCGCCGTGGCAATGCACCTGCTGCGAGCCGACATCCTGCGAAAGCCGGGCAAAGCCCGCGGCACTTACCTCGAGGGTCGGCGGCAGCGGCGTCAGCCTTTAAATCGGGCAGCGCGAGGTCCCCAAAGGACCGAGCAAATGCGGACCTTTTAACCCGGGTCGTCCCGGGAATAGCCTTGCTGGCCTCTGGCCTTCTGCGAAGCAGAATTAGGCCGGACGCCAGTGCCGCCGACCCCCGCATGCCGCCGGTGAACGGTTTTTTTTCGTGGTTTTTTGCGTCGCCACGGAGGCCCCCAGAGGGCGCGCATCATGAGCATCAGCGGGTCCAGTTCGGGACCCCCAGGCGCGCATCAGGAGCATCAGCGGCTCCCGGGGCGGGACCCCGGGGGCGCATCAGGAGCATGATGCCCCCCAAAGGGTGGGCATAAGCGATGTGTCTAAGCCCGGGCTAGGAAAAGGGGAGTTTAGGGGCCTTATAAAGTGCTTAGAAACTTTAAGGGAGTCTAGGAGCCTCAAACGCTTAGAGATTTGAAGGGAGTTTAGGGGCCTGAAAATGCTTGGAAACTTTGAGGGGGTTGAGGAGTCTCAAACGCTTAGAGATTTTAAGGGAGTTTATGGGCCTCAAAATGCTTAGAAACTGCTCGCCCCGCGCTTCTGCCTGCGCTGCCCGCCCATGGGCGCAGCCCCTTAAAATATAAATATATATATATATATAGACATGTATATGACTACATTGTCTTTTTTCAGAGAGTACCCTGGCCTCTCATTGAACCCTGCATGTTGCGGAGGTCCGAAACGTTCGAGGATTCGATCTTTGGACCAGCTCGCAGGCGCAAGCCAGGGCTCTGTCCTGAAAGTAGGGTTTCGGGTTTAGGGTTTGGGGTTTAGGGTTTGGGGTTTAGGGTTAGGGCCTTAGGGTTAGGGGTTTAGGGTTTCGGGTTTAGGGTTTCGGGTTTGGGGTTTAGGGGCTGAAGGACCACCATGGTCTTAGGGGTTTTCGGCTGCCCATGGTCTAGAACGCAATAATGGCTTTGATCAGCACGAAGAAAGGCTCAGGGAGTCTTGATCCAGTGCTGCCAGGAAGCAAGCCCCTCAACACCAAGCCGCCTTCATTTTTGCTCGCCAGCTTCCGGAACTCTTTGCGACCTGGGATGCTGCAAGAAAGCGACCATGCAGGATCATTGAAGATGGAGCGATGGGGGACATCTAAATATAGAAATGCGCGTTAGCCACGGTCTGTATATCATGTGTATCAGATAGATGTTTTTTGATCGGGATTTGGGGCTTTTGGGTCATGGGGGGGGGGGTGTTCGCTTGCATGTATATGCAAAGATAGATAGATCAATCGATATCCCAACGTTGGCGAATGTAAGTACCCGTCGCAGCACTGGACAACACTCTGCAGCCAAAATTCCGACTTGTCTTCACGCGGCACTACTGGGCTTACTGCTTGAAATCAAGCAAGATCCGACACTTTGGGACGTCCACATTTCGATGACGGTACACAAGGCATTAGTGCAAGGCTGCCACAAGCCACGTATAACTGTGGTGCCTTCCAGACAGCTTAAAGCCATTGAGGTCCTGTTTCCACAGCTGGCGCCATGTAATCCGCTAAACCCTAAACCCTAAACCCTAAACCCTAAACCCTAAACCCTAAACCCTAAACCCTAAACCCTAAACCCTAAACCCTAAACCCTAAACCCTAAACCCTAAACCCTAAACCCTAAACCCTAAACCCTAGACCCTAGCAGCTCTCGGCACCAAAACTCCAGGTCTCCGGCTTAGATTCCGCGCGTCGACCGCAAGAAAGTCGCAAGGTGCAGCCCCCAGCTGAAGGAAGCGGCGGACGGCTTCCACGGGCCGCAAGTAGTCCTGTTTTGTATACCAAAAAACAATCTAAAAGTACCTTTAGAAAAAATATCTATACATAACTATAGTAACTATATGTGTGTATATACGCCTTATTATAGAAGCAGGATAGAATGTGCAATATAAAAGCCCTACATTTTCCTTGTGCCTCATGGGCCACACGTGCCATTTGATGAGGACACTTTCCCCCACCCGTGTGTCAGCTTGAGCAAGCTTGTGAAGCTCGCCTCAGGGGGGATGCACTGGTTTGGGGCCTTGGGGGTTCATAGTCTGAGAGCCACGGTGCATCGATGTTGCTGTCAGAACCGATATCTTGCGGCTGTGTCACCGATGCGCGCAAAATTCTAAGCCTTGCGCTTGCTTCTGCCTGCGTTGTGGCCCCTAAACCCTAAACCCTAAACCCTAAACCCTAAACCCTAAACCCTAAACCCTAAACCCTAAACCCTAAACCCTAAACCCTAAACCCTAAACCACAAGACAGGCAGCAGCTGGGAGAGTTCTAGCTCCTCGTCATCGATTCGCGGAGGAGGCTGCAGCCACGCTGGCTGCAGAAGCGCTGCAGCCAACCAACCCGACAGGGTCATGCAGTTCGGACAAAGATGGCTGCTACTGGTGGCGTTTAGGGTTTAGGGTTTAGGGTTTGGGGATTAGGGTTTAGGGTTTAGGGCTGCTACTGGTGTAGATGGCTTAGGGTACTGGTAGCTATGCTTCTTTCAAGGCAATGCCTCCTTCATAATGGTCCATCGTGCGCAAGGATGCCGCGACCGGCGTGCAGAACCACAGAATCACCCCATTCAGAGCGAATTGAGAACGAGTGCTTCGGGTGCAAATGGGCATGAGGCATGAGTACAGAATTTCATAGTTGCCTTTCTGAGGCTAGAAGGTGACGTCGAGACCGTCGGCTGCAGAAGCATCGTAAAGCACATTGCCATCATGCAGAGCTACGCTGCGGACTGCAGGCGCTCGGCCACGGAAAGAAACAGAAACTCCGGCGCGCGCCTGCGTCTCCTTGCGAGCGTTGCCCTCCGACAAGCTCTCCTGTCGAATCTGCAACGCAGCTAAACAAGGGGCCAGCTCCATGGATCCCTACCATAATCCCTACTAAGGACCTAACAGTCCTTAGTAGGGATCAAAAAAATGCCCCCTACCATAGTCCCGACTAAGGACTGTTAGTATCAGGGGGAACATCCCAAAGTCATCCCATGGTCCCTTGAGCCAGCCTTCAGCCTCTCGCTGCCAGCCTGGCCCCGCTAGGAGGCTGGACTTCATGTAGGGTTTAGGGTTTAGGGTTTAGGGTTTAGGGTTTAGGGTTTAGGGTTTAGGGTTTAGGGTTTAGGGTTTAGGGTTTAGGGTTTAGGGTTTAGGGTTTAGGGTTTAGGGTTTAGGAATGTCAATTGAACCAGACAATTTGGCAGAGTTGCGAGTGTGCTGCTGCGGGCAAAGCAGTGGGCCAATTTCCATTACTCAGTCAATAATTTTAAGGGTTTAGGGTTAGGGTTTAGGGTTTAATACAGACAACAAAAAAGTCGCAAGAACATATCGCGAGTCAAAAAACCGAGAATGATCCCTGAGCCCAGGCCTTTGAAGCTCTTACTTTGGTAGCCTTCGGGCATGGGTTTGAAGGTTGTTCTTACCCAAAATCCCCAGACAGAGGGCTCAAGCCAACCCTAAACCCTAAGCTTTAAACCCTAAACCCATGAACTTCATAGATCACGGGCTTCCTAAAGCCGTTCGATGCCTCGTGTCTGGGTAGCATAAAGCCCAATCCATCTTCCGACTTGCCCCACCACCCCCACACCCCACAATCCCCCACACCCCCCCCCCCCCCCCCCCCCCCCCACCCCCCCCCCCCCCCCCCCCAACCCCCCCCCCCAACACCCGCCCCCCACAAAAACACCCCCCCCCTCCCCCCCCCCCCCCCACCCCCCCCCCACCCCAACACCCCGCCCCCCCACCCCCCCCCCGACACCGCCCCCAATCGAAATAGTGTTTGATACCTTGACTGTATTGACGTACCCCGAAATGCCCTGTGTTCGTCTGGGGACCGGACCAGATCCACGAAAGTGATCTTGCCTCAGCTTACAGTTGGTTAATAGGTAATGAGGGAGTGAGGTACCCCATATCCCCTATACATACCCTTTAAGGGATAGTATAGAGCACCCATTCCCTCATTCCCTATGAACCAACAGTAAGTAAGGTCGCAAGGAAAGGAGGAAAGCCAAGCAGAGTGAGCGGCCACCCCTTGAATTAAGCGAGTCCACCGCAAACTGGAATCTTCTGGACTGGTGAAGCCCTCAACAGCCCCTTCAGAGCCTAAACCCTAAGCCCTAAGCCCGAAGCCCTAAACCCTAAACCCCTAAACCCCTAAACCCCTAAAACCCTAAACCCCTAAACCCCTAAACCCCTAAACCCCTAAACCCCTAAACCCCTAAACCCCTAAACCCCTAAACCCCTAAACCCTAAACCCTAAACCCTCGACCCTACGTGCCGCTCAGCCAGGTGCCGTAGGTCTTCGTTGGTGGCGCATCGACGGCTGCATCTGCCTGGACGCATGCCATGGGTGGCAGCACCTCACAAGCCTCTCAAGCCTGCGTATTCAACAATAATATCCTAATGTACTATGGTAGTCATAATCAATTCATAGTATAGTAAGTAGAGTAGTCATATTATGACTCTTATGGTATATTACGACCAGAACATAATATACTATAGTCGTCAAAATATTGTGACTCTTATGGCATATTACAAGTATATTACAACTATACTTTATGGAATGCAACTATGCTTTATTTGCAGTCTGCTATAGTATTTTCTAAAGTGCTTGTTCTTTTTGTAAGTGCCTGAGCATATTGTACTTCAATTGTATGGCATTATATAATATTACTGGAGGTCAACCCAAGAGAGGGGCATTGCTAGTGCAAGCTGCGATTGCAAAAGCCAGTGGCTGCCATCGATTTTACCGTTGGCAATTTCTGTACAATGCGGGTCTTGAGCTTTCAGCGTCTCTTGCTAAAAAACCAAAAAGTAGACATCTGCTTTATTTGCACACAAATTCTGGACGCTGAAGTCTCGATCGTGGGCTAATCTCGCAGGGCTCAACGGGTCCTCGCAGCAGCGAGATCGAAGGCCGAAGGAGCTAAAACGTGCTGGTGGCTGCTAGAGCTGGCAGCTTCTGCAACCACGAGCTACAATCGAATGCGATGCACGTGAATTGATGGCAGCCTTGCCGGTTGTGCGACTGCACAACGGATGGCCCAGAAAGTATGCCGGTACGTATTGGACGCCAGCATACTCAAAATTGATTGGTGAGTTCATCAACCTCTGTCAATGGCTTGGCATGGTCCAACTTAGGTTGCTTGGTTAAGCAGAGCAGCTGGCTGATCGACTCTTCGAAAAATGGGCTTCAAAAGGCCCGACATTCCAACGGAGCGGCTAGAACACCAACCGATGGAAAGCCCCACAGCTGCATCAACAAAAACCACTACTGTAAGCATGAGTGTGCCTTACGTACTTGTCGTGGAAGGTTCATGCATAGCTATTCCTACATGCTCTTGCCTGCATGGTGAGAATGTAAGCAGCCCGGGGCGCTAGTCACTAAGTACACACACACACACACACACCTGCACACACGCTTGCTGTGGCAGGTCATGCGGTCTCCTGAAAATGCATCAAGGTGTCGGGATGCCAATGCACATTGAAGCTGCAGTGGCCAATGCCCTTCCGGCTTGGAATTCGGATCTGCCAAGTGAAGCGCAACCGTTTCCAGCCACAGAGTCCCCTCCGTTTCAGGACATGCCAGCATAAATGAGCAGAAGAACCGTTGACATCACGAAAGCTAGGCCACCATTGCGTAAGTCACGGTCTTTGCATGGCTCAAGTCGAGTAGCTGCATTGGGTCTGCAATTTCGACGCAGGACCTTACTTCTGCAGTTAAGATTGTTAAAACCTGATCGTCGTGCTGACTCCGCAGCATCTCTCTGGCTCAACTCCCGAGCACAATGCATCTGAAAAGTCAGCGGATTCTGTGCAAACAATGGCCTCGTGGTGCTCTGGAGCCCAGCCATCATCGGCTGTGAGCATCACACCCAACGCTTGGCGCACGTTGAGTACCCTGCCCTGGCAGCTCAGAACTTCTTTCATCGCCTTCCGAGGGAATTTAACTCAGGAGGTTGTTGAATTGTCCTGCCATAGACTTTGAAACTTCTTGAAACGCATACAGCCTACATATTAAATTCTTAGACCTTGGAAGACCAATCCCACCCCTCCAACTCCAGTCCCCGGCTTCCGCACACCCCGTATAGTCCCCTCCCCCTAATATATTAAATACCCCTGAAGTGCGTGTCACGGTCTTGGATCTTAGTAGCTTATAGGCTTTAACGTACAGCCAACTTGTTCATTGTATGAGGCCCCGTGAAACAAACCAGGCTCAATTTTTGAGCCCTTTGCTGCAATTCGCCCTGTAGTGCTCCTCTAGGAGCCCCCCCATCTCCGATCTGGGACTTCCAAATGCTACAAAGCGGACGGAGCACGGTGATCTCACTCTGCAACTGTTTGAGGGTAATCCCCTCCCCCTAGTACTAACCCCCCCCCCCCCCCTTGCCCCCCAAAATGCCCCCCAGTATGGTTGTATTTATAGTATATGGAGGGGTGTAGCTTTACAGCGCGCGAAGCTGTTCTTTGTAGAGAAAGTGACGTCCGGCGTCCTCTGCCTCAACCGAAAGCGTGCGAACTGCTGAAACCTGTGGAAAGCTCTTTGGACGGTTTAACCAGTGCTACAGACCGTTCCATGTACCCAATTGGATTCAATCTGTGTACCAAACCTATCCTTGGGCAGCAGCGCATCATGCAGCTGCAGGACAAGTACCCCACCTGCCTCGCGCAGTGGGTGCCGGAGGCATTCCGCAAGCCGCAAAGCCGTCCGGCCACCTCGACACTCACAGAATTTTTGTAGGGCAGCATGATCGACGAATTTGCCTAACCCGCATCTTGGGAAGATTTCTGACTCGTAGTACCAGTAGCTACCAGGGTCTACCGTGGAGGCCACGGGCTCTGCCTGGGGCTTAAGCTGAACTCTGCCAGGCCACGCGACGTGCGCTGATTCGGATCCGCGCCTGAAGCCAAGAGCAGCCTGACCATGTCTACCTGTCCAGGGCAACTGCACCCAACAGATAAGTGATCTTCTGTAGCTACAACATGCTATAAGGGTTCTTCTAGAGTCACACGGATTCTCCAGGTTAATCTTTGCTACCTACATCGGGACCTACAGTAGCAGCCTTGGAAAGCCTCTTCCTCCCAACACAAGCTTAGGCTTCAGAGGGCAGCTGCCCGGAGCACCTTGCCCTTCAGAACTGCGAGGTGTAGGGGACTCAGCTTCTCGCGGAAGGGCAACCAGCCTGTGCCAGCTCTGCATCAGCCCTCGAAACTTGACCGGTGAGCGTATGCATATCTGCTCACCTCGTACTGAAACGAGATTCAAACTCTCGATGTTCAGAGGCCCATCAACTCCATAGCCTGCAGATCCCAGAACGCCACAAAGCCGACCCTCAAATCCGTAATCACCTGGTTTCGGGTTGAGGGAACTAGTTTAAGCCGACAGGCGCCTTTTCTGTCCAGCGAAAACCACGCTTGTGTTGTGTGTTGTTGTCTTGGTTGGGGGTGGGGGGGGGAGAGGGATTGGTGGTGGGGGGGGGGGGGGCAGGGGTTGTTGGGGAGGGGGTGGGGGCTGGTGGAGGGGGGGGGGGGGGTGTGATTACGTTCCTGGCCAACCCGCTTCCAAAACCTCACAGCCCGACAAGGTTTCGGTGGCTTTGGGTTTCGGGGGTTTCTGCTTCGTTTCCAGGTTTTGGCGTTCTCGAAACTTCACAAAGCCTCAGCCCTAAACCCAAGGTTCAGGGTTCTGGGTGTCGGGTTGCGGTTGCGGGTTGACGCCTTGGAGCAAGTCACAGCCGGCTCGGACAGCCTTCAACCCGAAACCCCAAAACCCAGGGCCCGACGTTGAGCCCAAACCCCTAAGCTCCAAACCTGAAGTGCCAGCGACACAGAAGCCGACAACCACAAGCGGCAACCCCGACATGCAGAAAGTAGAAGCGGCCAAGACGACCACGGTTTAGTGTTTCGGGTTTAAAGCTTGCCGAGACATCTGTGTCAGTTGCGATGTCCGGCGAAGCCCCATATGAAGCCTTCCTCACCCTGACGAGCCTGAAACCCCAAACCCTTGAGGGTTGAGGCGGCTTTCCTGTCTTAGGGTGGGTTGCAGCGGCCCTGAATCCCAAGCCCGAGCTTCCTGGGTAGAAAATGGTAGAAAGGGCTTGCTGTCGGAGATGGGGGATAGACGTTTCGGGTTTGGGGTCTAGGTTTGAGGCCGAATCTCGGAATCTCTGCACCACTGCAAGTCCTGAACCCACATCCTGAAGCTGCAAGCCCAAAGCAGTCCAGCTCAAACCAGCCACTTTACCATGACAAGCCCTGAGCCCAAACCTAAAACACTACATGTCTGAACCCTTCATGACATGACCTGTTCCAAGACCTCCAGAAGAAGAAATACGAAAAAAGCATAAAATCGGAGGTTTTCCTGAAAACGCGATTTTCCACGAAAGCGTGGAAGGTGTGTGACAATCAGCAAAACCAGCATTCCAAAAACGCGGAATGTTTTTCATGCCAGAACAGTGGTTTTTTGCATCATCCAGACAAAAACCGTAGTCTTTTAGATTGGTTTTGAGGCAGGTAAACGTGGCTAAACCTAGGTACAACCATCAAATCCATTAAAAACACGGACAATACAGGAACCCGTAGGGTAGTTTAAGCCCCCGAGTTGTGACCCAAGTCAATTGACTGGCTGAGTCTTGTTGACACGAAGACACCCCTAGTATTGTACTCGCTTGACACTTCAGTCACCTGAACTAGAAAAACCCTATTCTCGAGATTGAACTCTATTCTCAAGCCCTTGATACTGAGCCAACATATTTATAGAGAGTCTCAATCTGATCACGGAAACGATGTTTGGAATGCCTGTAGCATAGGCTGATTATGGTCGAAATCTAACGCGAGCTCGAATAGGTCCCTTAATGAAGAAAGCGGATCGCCATTGAGAATGAAAGGTAATAGAGCCCATTTCTTCCGCGTAGGTTCTTCTAATACAGAGTGCTTCAAGTACAACTTGTACCCGAAGTGCTGGCGCGTGTCAAAGCCATAAGTACCACAAATTAGATACACATCGCACACGATTCAGGCCATATCGGCTAACTGAAACCAGAAAGCGAAATGCCGACTCCGAAATACAGCTTGTTGCTTTCAGACTGAGGTGCGCATGTGCCAATGAGGCCGAGAATACATCACCGCTTTGGGGTTTTGCGGGAAATGCCACAAATGCATACACATACACCACTCGAGAACGGATGGCCTGGTTTGGCTCGCATTGTTCGCAGGTCGCAGTAGCCGTTGGTCCGCCTCGAGGGGACTTTCTGACAAGCTGCCGCTTTCGTGGAGTTCGTCATACTTAGCATTGTCGAAGACATCACTGAGATTACTCAGAGTTATCTTATCAGTCATACTGCATATTATAGTCAGACGAAAAAACAACATTCAGAGAAGACAAATATTGAGGCCAGGCTGCAAAAAGCTCTCGACCTGGGCCAGCTGCTGCCTGCGTACCTTCGAGCGCCTCGAAAGCATCTGATTGTCGGCACACTTGTGGCCGGGAACTTCAACGTCTCCCGCGTCTCCCGTTGTCGCGCCGAAGTCGCTGTAACTGGCACACGTCTCCGCGGTCTTCGTGAGAAGCCGTATCTCGCCCGGTAAGGCGATTTTAAAGTCCAGCTTCGCCGCCATTGGCCAGCAGGGCCAGCAGCCTTTGGAAAATAAGGCAGACTTCCCTGGGTCAAGTGCCCTCTTGTGAAGACTCCCCCTAACTCCTTGAGCAGCGAAGAGGCTCAGACGGGTACAGACACATCTTAGCATCAATCGTAAGATGGGGGGTCTCCGAAGGTAGGGGCACCTTATTGGGGTCTGATTATAAGGGAATCCTGCTATTTGGGGCTCTATATTGGGGGTCCCCTTTTTTCGTAAACCCCGGGATGTCTGCGGGGGCATCTGGTGTTGGGATATGCCCCGCATGCACCCCTTGGAGACTTCTTACCTTGCGGGATCCGACTTGCTCGACCACCGTATGCACGAGTCCCGGTCGGAGCAATGTCCCCTTAGTTGTTAGGGCTTAGGGTTTAGGGTTTAGGGTTTAGGCTAACAGTGCAAGACCACCGACGCAACTTGTGCCTGCTGCTCCGAGTCGATGTGCAAGGTGAACCTGACAGGAATGAAAGTAGAAACACTAGAACCCTAAAACCCTAAGCCCTAACCCTAAAACCCTAAGCCCCAAACCCCAACAGTAAACCCCTACATAACCCTAAGGCCGAAACCCTAGAAACCCCTAAGCTCTGAAACTCTCAAACCCCGAGCTCTAAACCCAACACCCAACCACACCACGAGGGGGGGGGGGGGGGATGCCGAGGGCCCCGGGGCCCGCAACCATATATGTGGAGCATGTGGGGCAGCTGGTTACCTGCAAATAGTGACGAGATCAAACCGGAGCGCCCCCCCCCCCTTCTCCAGTCATCCGTGCTCCTGGCAATCTGTGCGAGGCCCCAGTCCATGTAATCAGTGAGTGCAAGGCCCCCAATGCATGATCGCCTTTGCCACGATCCGAAACCACAACCCTACAAAGCCGAAAGGCCCATGATGTCACCGAACCTATGCCCAGTCAAAAGTTTGAGCCTTGCCCTGCCCCCCCCCCCCCACCAAATAAAAAAAAAAGACGGTGCCATGCGGTTCCGTTTCCGAACCCGCTGTACCTCTGCAAGGCCACCCTAATCTCTAAACTCTAAACCCTAAAAACCCGACTGATTCCCCGCGCGCAATGTCTCGGTCCCGGGCAGAGCGTGGGTTCGAGACGATTCTCGGTTCAGTGCATGTGCATTGACGCGACGGTTCTGCAAGCCAGCCTGGACCATTGGCTTGTTTAGGGTTTAGGGTTTAGGGTCAGGGTTTAGGGTTTAGGGTTTGAGGTTTGAGGTTTAGGGTTTGAGGTTTGAGGTTTAGGGTTTAGGGTTTTCGGGTTTAGGGTTTGGGGTTTAGGGTTTAGGCTTTCGGGTTTAGGGTTTAGGGGCTTTCTTGCCCCAATTGGATCATGCATGTGAGGACTGACTACTGGACTAGTGACTGGTTTGCGTGTCAATGCATGTCTAGCCGGCTACTATACTGAATGTTGGCTGTGAGATGCCGCGGACGATTCCGGGACTTAGTAGCCATGCATTGTAATTAAAAAGGGTCCCCTTTTTGGGAAAACCAAACTGGGCAAAAAGAGGTAGTCAGCTACAGGGAGGATGCTGCGAGGAGCCCCGCAAGGTGCCAAAATGCCTCCAGCACGGCCCGAACGTCTGCCAATGTCCGGCACTCGGCCACCTCACAATTGGCAACACGCCTTAAGGATCAACCGATGGGAATGCTAGCAAAAGTCGAATAATCCCAAAACGAATGCTAGTAATACTACCAACCATGCTGGTAGTACTAAAAACTTTTAGCGCTGCGACGAACAATACTGCGAATAATCAAGTACTGACAGCAGTACATGTGATGCAAGGAGAGCAGGTTGGCTCGCAGCAGTAATGACCCCACTAATACCCCCCAAGATGCTACAACCCCTTAAAATAGCAGCCCCCCCCCCCCCCCCCCCCCCCCCCCCCCCAAGAAGGGTGGACATTCTTTTGGCCCTTTTTTTGGGGGGGGGGGGAGGGAGGGGTGTTAGGGTTTAGGGTTTAAAAACAAGCCCCCCCCCCCCCCCCCCCCCCAAAAAAAAAACCAAAAAAATGGGTTTTTTCCAAGAAGGGTGCCCGTATCCTCAGAGGAAAAATACACATACTGGCCATGAGACGCCACGCAACCAGAGTCCTAAGACCGGAGCTGCCAGATCGCTAATGAAGAAGCCGTGCTTTTGGCTGAAACGGACCTGCTGCTGCCAACTTGGTTCTTGGGTTTAAGGTTTTGTACGGGTTAGGTGGGTTTGGGGGTTTAGGGTTTAGGGTTCTAGTACTGTTGAGGGTTTAGAATTTAGGGTAATTAGCCCATGGTCGTTTTGCTGCTTCCTACACTGTCATGAGGTCCGAGGAGCCCTTTGCTACGAACCCTCTTGCTTCGTGAATGCTGTTGTCTCGCAAAAAACGAGGGCTCTTGTATTTCACATGACGCGCTTCCGACCTTCATGGCCACCCGGGCCACAGCCGTAAACCCTAAACCCTAAACCCTAAACCCTAAACCCTAAACCCTAAACCCTAAACCCTAAACCCTAAACCCTGAACCCTGAACCCTGAACCCTGAACCCTGAACCCTGAACCCTGAACCCTGAACCCTGAACCCTGAACCCTGAACCCTGAACCCTGAACCCTAAACCCTAACTAAACCCTAAGGAAACGCAGCCGAAAGCTGCCAGCCATGAGAGCCCCTTGCAAAGGAGCCTGCAAATGCCCTGCGTCGGGGTTCAGCAGGTCGCAGATGCACCTTTTGTATTTTTCGGCTTAGGGTTTAATTAGGGTTTAGGGTTTAGGGTTTAGGGTTTAGGGTTTAGGGTTTAATTAGGGCTTATGCATGCTGTCAGGGTTTAGGGTTTAGGGTTTAGGTGCGGTACGCAGGGAAAACTCATCACGAGTCACGGGTCCCTTTCGCATATCTCTTCCTGTCCGTCCTGTAGTGAATATAAATATATACATGTATATATATATAGGCATCTGTTTATCGAATTCGTCAACTATCTTACCAGAAGAGCTACAAACCCTTCACCCTAAACCCCTACCCCCCCCCCCCAAAAAAAAAATAATAAATGGACAGTTTACTTGAAAGTAAAGATGATACAAACAAAAAACACAACAATATACTATACTTGAATAGTTTCACAATATAGTTGCATACGAACAATTTAAAAAGAACAATGCAGATATATAATGATATAACAGTATACTCACATATTCATAAAAATAGCAATATGCAAGCATAAGAAACATATAACGATTTGAAAATATGATCGTCTAATACTATATAACAAAACAATACAATACAAGACAATACAACACAATACAATACAAGACAATACAAATAAACAAATCAGATAAACAAAACACAAACGGATAATTATAATACATCTAATCTAGTATAAGATAAACTAACCAATTCACCGATGACACGATACCCAAGTAGCAACCCTAAACCCTCAACCCTAAGCCCTAAGCCCAAACCCTAAACCCTAAACCCGAAACCCTAAACCCTAAACCCTTTCGTTCCAGGCCCCGGCTCGTTGACAGCGCCAGGTGCATTGAAAATCTCAGCGAAGGAAGCTCCAACCTGGTAGCGCAGGACAGGCGTGAGAAATGGCCTCACGTGTCGTCTGTGTGTCACATGTGAAAAGTCCGTTTGGGGTTTAGGGTTTAGGGTTCAGGGTTTAGGGTTTAGGGTTTAGGGTTTGGGGCGGACGAGATAGCGACCGGCCTGGGGATTGCAGAGCCTGCCAGGGAACAACCCTTCTTGCGTAAGGTTAGGTGCCCCTCCCCCCGCCCCACTACAAACCTTTAGGGTTTAGGCTTTAGGGATTAACTTTCGAGTCTTCGTACCATGAAGGCCTCGGACTTCTTGTTGATACCAAGAGAGGACATGGCAAACAAGAACGGTCGCAAGCTCCCAAGAAACTCGCTTCCGTGCAACATACAACCGTGATGGCGGAGCCCACTTGCAGGCCCACTTCCAGGACCTCCGATCAGGACTATGGAGGACGCTGCGTCCTGTGCCCCGAACATGAAACATGACGACCAAACTTGCTTGGACACCACCATCTCGGCAACACCCGATTAAACCTACCTCTGTCTTCAAGACAGAAAACCGACCCACCCAGGCTGCTGACCTTCAGATCCCCCTGCTTTTGTGGGCGCGATGTATCTAGACTCCAAGTGCACCAAGAGGATATGGCCTAGCATGGCATTAACTCGACTGCAGCCTGATGTGGTGCAGGATGATGTAGCTTCATCCTGCCCGCTGGTGATCTGAGGCGCAGGCTGAAATTCGCGAGCCTCCGTCGCTGTCACCTCGCAGGTCACAGGGTTTCACGTTCCACGAAGCCCCTCCGCATGCCGGCGAAGAGAAACAGGTCTCAGTGCTGGCAGGCTGGGTCTCATGTATTTCTTGGCGGCCTTGCCTATCTGCCGAAAGAGGCGACGAGCTGCTCGGATGACCAAGCCATCATTGCGCTTAACCTGAACACTAAGCAGGCAGGGTAGCTTAGCTTACATTAACATTATCACTGTTACATTATTCTATTCTTATGATATGATATGCTTGTATGGTTATATTGGTATATTAATATATTAGTATGGTAGTGTATAATAAATCTGTATACTATCATTATGCTATGTACATTTTCCCCTTATATGAACAGTCCTCAATAGGGATTATTGTACCCCCTATTATAATCCTTGTTACGGACTGTTACTACAAGGGGGGAACATCCCACTCCTATACACCCTAAACCCTAAACCCTGTTAGTACAAGGGGTCCCAAAATGGCCCATCATTCTCCCAGAGGTGTCGTATGCGATGCCTCGCCTCGTCGCCGCACTCGGATGTTCGGTCTGAAGAGCTGGATCGCCCCATCTGGAAAGTTGGGTTAGGGTTTTTTAGGGTTTTTTAGGGTTTAGGGTTTCAGGGTTTAGGGTTTAGGGCTAGGGATCATAGAGTTTATAAGGATCATAGAGTTTATAGGGGTTTATGGGGTTTATAGGGGTTTATAGGGGTTTATAGGGGTTTATAGGGGTTTATAGGGTTTATACGGTCTATAGGGTGATTGGGTTTTTTTGGGTTTGCAGGGTTTGCGGAGCGGAAGACCCAGCGAAAAAACTGCTCGTGACAGCCTTGGTGAGTTTGAAAACCTCGAAGTATGATCAGTATCCCGACAGTGTTGACCCACGACCTCTGTCTGCAAACCCTAAACCCTAAACCCTAAACCCTAAGCCCTAAGCCCTAAGCCCTAAACCGGTCGGAAAGACCATGGTGTATGTCTTTCCACTGCCAGTCTGGCCATACGCCAGCACTGTAGCCTCAGCAGCACTCCAAGCCGACCCGTAACTCGCCCAGCTCACGATATGATACTAGCAAGTAGTAGGTTGCCACATTTGCTATGTTGCTATATCATACTACATTAGATTCTACAATATTTTCATCACACTATGATACTGTGACTTTTTGATACGATTCTACTATCATATGAGTATTTTATATTCATATGTTTTTGCAGCGCGTCGGCCGACATAAGTCTCACCTCAACAATTTTGGCGGTTTCAGCATCCATGGGGCAGCGGCAGCATATCCAGAAAGTGCTGCATCCAATAGGCAGGTCACGCCACTCTCTTGGAAGACCTCGCTTGCAAGCAGAGAGTTTATAAGGAGCGGTTAATGGCTGGGTCGATTTGTTTATCATGCCGACTTCAACAGAACCAAGCAAAGCATGGTGATACTATCTCCCTGATCGTGGCAACCAATCCTGCAAGGATCTGAGCTCCGTTTACTAGCAGTGCGGAAATCGCAAGCCAGACAATGCAGCCCGCCAACCCTGCCTGCTTCTGCGATCTGTCTTCGGGAAGGCAGGCGTCAAAGGAGTACTTCCGAAACTGATTCGCCACACCGACCCTGCGCGGAGTTGTAAGTGTGGCAGTGTTACATCGGCCGGGTGGCTGTTGGGAAAGAAGATATCTTGTATGGTGCTCAAAAATGTGTATCAGGACTCCTCCGGGCATCTTTGCCTGCCTAGTTCTCCGATGGTCCTAAGGCCCGAGGGAGGACATCACGGCTTGGACGCAGGCCGACGGCTTCTCGTAACTCAAAGCGATGGATAAAGTGCCAGTGTGCGGAACATATCTCCTCTCGGTCAGGTATGCTGGCGTGTCCACGCGCGATCCATGTGTGCTCACGACTGACGAGCAAATGCGGTGGCAGTCAGAAACCTTAACAAATCCACGAAACGGCAGTTGGCCATGCTCTGTAGCAACATTGCAAATTTTCATGTGACAACCCAAGGCCTCACAAGGATCGCTCGGTCACCTGAGACCTGCGAGCGAGGGCTACAGCCGGTCCAAAGATGTCCAAAGGCTACGTAGCTGCTGGCAGCCAGTATAGATACAAATCGTAATAAGAATAAAAATACATAAATATTAGACGTATTCTACGGGCCCTTGAATTTCTTACCAAAATCCGCAATGTGTGTTCTCCACGCAGTGTGCTACGAGGACGTCCATGCAGCATGTCAGGAAAGCATAGGAAAAAACATGAAATGTACAGCTAACGCTGCAGCCACAAGCCTGGCAGCAGTTCTCGTGCCCGGCTTCGAGCTCTTGCCTGGCCCGGCAGGGTCCCTAAGGGGTTGTAAGCCCTGAAGCAACAGGTCTTGGATTAGGGAGCTTAGGCTCCAGGGTTTAGGGTTTAGGGCTCGATTCAATCCGGCCAGTTTCGCTGCAGAAGCGGGCGGACGCGCACCACAGCTCTGACTGAAGAGGACCTCGGTGGTGGCCAAGAAGGGGGGGTGGGGGGGGGGAGGGTTGGAAACTATTCGCTCTGAGTTGATGCTGAGGTTTGTTTCTTCCTGAAGGCTAGGCGTCCACAGACTTATCATGATGTTCGGCCTCATTAGCATATCGAAGAATTTCGCTGTGTGGGGCTACGCTTTGCCACTTCATGACGGAGTGCAGCAGCCCCACTGAGATCCCTGTGAAGCTAAATCGACCGCACAACTCGCACAAGCAAGAGAAGGATGGCACCTTAAATTAGATTCTGCCAGAGCTGCGCATCCCGCGGCATGCACGTCCAGCCAGTCAGGGCGGGATCCCATGGACGGTCATTGGCTTGGAAAGGCCTCGCCTAAGAATCGGCAGCTTGCGAGGCTGCTATGGCTGGGTGCTGGGGCGGGTGCAGTGAGTTCCTAAGTGCATCTCGGGCCGACTACGAGGTCTATGAGTCGCCTCGGAGTTTGATCCGAACTGCAGTGCTTGCTTCAGATCAACTCCGATAAGAAGTGTGGGCTCATGGCTTGTTGCTCCCAGCTGCAGTGCTAACCTTGAACTGGAACTTGGAGCGAGGGCAACCACATGCTTGTGCAAGCTTCTAAACCCTTCAAGTGACACAGAGCTGTCCTTAAGCACTCTGGCCCGGCATTTAAGAAAGCCAGTGTGTCCACACACACGGCGACTGGATTTGAGTGAAAAGTCGGCAAGCATTGGACACGCCTGTGTCCCGGACTCTTTCGACAATGCCAGGTCTTGGGGCTGGCAATACTGGTAGCATGAGGAATGCTGATGGAACTGAAGGGGGGATTCTATGAACTCTGCACAGCATTCTGAACTCCAGACTGCTTTTCCTTGAATGGAGAAGGGTCAAACACAATCAAGTCAACTCCGCCTGGAAGGCAAGGCCATCCAAGGCAGTCTACACGGCACCACCACAAAGGCTCTATGCACACCAAGCATGTCCCACAACGTGCGCTGCTTCCAGTCAGTACGTTTAAAGGTTTTGAAGGAGCGGCGTGTGGGCACAACGGGAAGAGGGCATGGCCCTAAACCCTAAACCCTAAACCCTAAACCCTAAGAAACCCTAAACCCTAAACCCTAAACCCAACCCTAAACCCTCAACCCTCAACCCTCAACCCTAAACCTGGCCAACAAGGTTGACTGGTTGATTGGGCGTGTCAGCTGGCACGGTGTGCTTTCATCTGCCCCTCAACGATATTCTCATAGAACGCCGCCATCTCCTGTCCGGGGCGTGCTCCAATGTCCAAATACAAACATCGCAGCATCTCCGGATCTAGGATGGTTTAGGGTTTAGGGTTGAGGGTTCAGGGTTCAGGGTTTAGGGCTTAGGGGATACTTTCTGCAGGATCTTAAACACCATGCTGCTTCTTGCAGGCACAGGCAACAAGATCTCCACCCTTTACCCCCTGGAAGGAACAGCTGGCACAGCAGAGCGCAACTGTCAGGACTGTGCAGATCTGTGCGCTGCGCCTTCGAGACTGCCTTGTTCTCTTCCTTGGCGCACGCACAGGAGGTTTGTCAGAAGCCAAGAACAACTCGTTTAAAGCTCCTGCTGCAATCCAGCCAGCGAATACCAGGCAAGGATGGAAAGGAAAAACAACGCAAGCTATGGCACGCAGCAAACCTGCACATTGACCGCATCTTAACTCTTTCATCTCGGCAGTGTCAACCCACCGTTCTGCTTTTCAGTCGTTAAGTTTGCTCCCATGAGAGCCCCTCGAAGTTGGCACAGTCTGAATACACCTGTGAGTGCACTCGACTTATATTGGGCGCGGAGTTGAAAGCGCTCATGGCATCAACATCAACATACGCATCCGCAGCACTCCAAACGGGTTCGGGCCAGTGGGGTGCGGGCAGGAATTCCAAATCCTAAGGCCGGGTAGCCTAAACCAGGACAAACAATGTTGACTGCCTCATGGCACGGAAGACTCCAAATAGGTCTTTCTCCAGAAGACTGACGCTGTTCAATAACACTGCTCTGCGCACATGAAACGAACCACGATCAACAAGAAACAACGTCATTGAGTCATACCCTTTACTCCAACTCAGACGTCTGACTTTCACGAACAGCGGCCTGCGCCGTGCAAAAGGCGTGCACGCATCAAAAAGCAGGCTTTAAACCGTTCATTCATACATGGGGGTTTCCGAAGCTAAGGGAGCCCTACTATAGACCCCCAAGTAGTAGGATTCCGTGACAATAAGGACCCCAATAAGGTGCCCCTAAAAATGGGAACCCCCAAACTAGTACAGTCTTCCAGTTCTCGGAACTGAGCCGAAGTGCTCTGCCGGGTTCCGAAATTTGGGGTACCTTATTGGGGCCCATACCGCAAGGGGATCCTACTTTTTGGGGTCTATTTTCGGGGCCCCGCATTTTCGTCAACCCCCATTTGATCAGACTGAGGGGGGCCCCTCGGGCCCCTGCGCGGTACATGCCGAGGTACTTGTGCGCCTGCTCGGTGTTGTACCTGGGTGTAGGTGGTCGCGAAGGTCATGATGCACATACACCCTAAAACCTAAACCCTAAACCCTGAAACCCCTAACCCCTTAACACCCCAACCCTAAACCCTAAACCCTCAACCCCTAAACCCGAACCCCTAACCCTAAACCCTAAACCCTATACCCTCAACCCCTAAACCCTAAACCCCAAACCCAGGGGGGGGCTCACGGAAACTCTGGGCCTGTCAGGCCTTCAGCGGCAAACTTCTTGCAGTAGTGATCCCAGTCCTGGCTCTGTGATGATGAAACATGTGGGGGTTTCCGGGTTTAGGGTTTGGGGTAAGTTTAGGGTTTAGGGTTTAGGGTTTGGGATTTAGGGTTTAGGGTTTAGGGTAACTTAGGGTTTAGGGGTACCTTATTGGGGTTCCTAATATGTAACGGCATTCTACTATTTGGGGCCTAGATTAGTGGTCCCTGATCCTCGTAAAGGCCCAGAAAGCCCCTTCAAGCCTCTTTGAAAATACTCCGAAATATGAGCCCCTTCTACCCCATAGCCCCTCTTAAGAAAGAAAAATTCCAAATATGACCCCCCTTAAACCCATTTCAGGCCATATACAAAATGATATACAAAATGTCCCAAGGGCTCACCTAGTGATTTGCCTTCACACGCTTTCACCATGCCTTCACGCCATCGAGAATGATGGCCTAAAAATTGCCCACATATCCCCTCCCCCAAAGTATATTTAAACCACCCCCCTCCCCCCCCCCCCCCACCCCCTGACATTAAAGACCCCCAATTATAGTTATGTTATAGTATATGGGGTGGTATTTAATATTAGTGGGTAGGGGGATTTACTATAAGGGGGAAGGGACTAATTGCCAAGATCTAGAATCCTTGACACTTAAGCTGCAGCTACGATATGTGTAAAGGCTTTCCTGGAATTGGTGTGGCCTCTAACAACTCTCAACCAAGCACCTCTTATACCCCGACGAAAAATGCTCGGCCTCTCTGCAGTACTGGATGAACCTCGCAAGTGCACGCTTGTGTTTGGGACAGGAAGCGTGGTGCTTTGCTTGAGGAGCCACAGAACTCGAGAATCGGCCCACAACACCTTGCTTCTCAACATTTCCCAGCAGATGAGACCTTGGCACAAGCCTCGAGATCACAAACGGGACTCCGCACCACCCCCAAGTCCCACTTCGCAACCTTTCTCAAGCCGGGCAGGTCACTTGTCGACAGGATGCAGCGTCCACATCCGCTCCACCTTGATCTGAGAGTGGACCCCGCCTCACAAGAAAGCGAAAGGCGACAACCGGTAGCTGTAATGATGCTTCAGAAAGCGGTACTGAGCAGAGGTTGTGACGCACGTCTGTTTGCCGGAATACATAGCACCCGAATGTTGACACTCCTGCAAACCTCACAACATGCTAAACACCAATGTGGGCTCTGCATGTCGTTCTCAACGCATGAGAGCTTTCACTTATGACACCGACACCTGACCAACGCTCATCCATTCACTTAACTGCAGGCACAACCTGGAGTCCCGTCCGTACATCCCAAGGTACGCCTCCAAGTTTGGATGCTCCCGATGACTCTACCGTTCTGCGGCGGTCCTTAGACCCAGACCTCGCTCCGTCAGGAAGGGGATGACAGACCCAACAAACACGCCAGTCATGGTTCCGTGCCTCCAGGCAAGCGGGTCATGTGTGCATCTGATGAACACCCTGTGGTGTCACAGCCGGAGGCCTCGAGCTAATATCGCACAAACACACAGAAGCAACAAGAATCACACTGCAAAATCCCTGCTCTTGGGGCTAGTTGATCGAACTATCTCAGGGTTGAGGGGTTCGGCTCAGGCCCGCAGAGCGCATGCGGGCTTCATGCGTTCTATCTTGGAGAAGCTTGCTGGTGGCTGTGCCGTCCGGAGCCGGGCCTTCAGCAACCTATGCGCCTGTAAGCAGCCACAGGTGCTGCGCGTTAAGTTTGCGTGCCATCTTCTCGGCAGATTTACCATTATGACTGTGCACCGACACGACTTTTTCACACTGATCTATTTCCAAAAAGCGAACCTGAACACGACCATAGCAGATT